TGAAATGGTTTGCCTAATAGGATATTTTACTCCCTCCCCACAACTCCCTCCAGCTGCACCCCCCCGTCTCTCCCCCTTTATAATACATAATAATATGACGCACCTCCAGCGCCTCCGCGAGGAAGGAGAGCCGCCGCCATGACAGGTATCTCTCCCCCCCTCCCACCCAGAAGCGGGACAGGAAGCGGAAGCTCCTATTCCCTCGACAGCCTTTTCCCCCTCCTCTCTAGGAATCTCAGTTCTGTTGCCGCTGCTCTTAACCGTTTCGGAGCCGAGCGGCAGGAGCCTCTGGGCTTCTTCGCGCAAAGAGCGGGGAGAGAGGCGCTGGTCTCGCCTCCAGAAAGACCCTCTGGATCAGCTGCGCGGGCGCCCCAAAAAGTTATCTAAGCTATTTTTTATTAAGAAAGAATTATTTTCAATTTTCAAAATAACAACAGTTCCCCTTTTGGTATATAGATATTCAATCCAAATTTGCAATAAATGTCTTCCCCCCCCCAGCCCCCCTAGTTTCCGTCCCCCCCTTTATTCTCCTTGCATATTTCTCCAATTAATTTCAACTTCTTTCCCCCCTCCTAATTCTATTCTTACTTCATCAATGTTACGTCAAACCTCAGGGATATTTGTATTATTACTAGTAGTATTATCATTATTACCCTGTCTGTATAAGGCCTCAGCCACACTTGGAGTTTTAATGTGGACGTGAAGTTGCTTGTTTCTCCTTTTTTAAAAAACCTCTTCTGCCCAGAACTGCTTTTGCAGAAACTGCTGTTTAACTGAAACACAAATAATTTAAAATGTGTGTGTTGGGGGATGTTATTGGGTTGTTTTTGTTTCTGTTTGGATTATGTACTTTGAGTTTTTATATTGTAATTTTATCCTGTGAACTGTCCTGAGGCCTGTGGGCATAGGGAGGTATATAAATTTAACAAATTATAGTAAAATTAGGCCAAATAAAAATTATTACAAGTTCCAGGGGGAGCCTCTGCAGAAGGTTTTCCAATGCTTAAGGGTTTGCCTTGACCCCAAGCCCTATGGAGAGACCAAAGAAGGTCCCCCACCTGCCCAAGTTGGCCCGCAGGGAGGAGAGCAGGAGAAAGATCTGCCCCTCCATTGGGAAAAGATATCCTGCCCCCATAAAAAGGAGGAAAGACCTATAAATGAATCATCTTAGCTAAATTATATAAAGAATGCATTAATTATGGGAAATGTAAATATAATAATAATAATAATAATAACAATAACAACAACAACAACAACATATTTATACCCCGCCCATCTGGCTGAGTTTCCCCAGCCACTCTGGGCGGCTCCTAATCGAGTGTTAAAAACAATACAGCATTTAAATATTTAAAACTTTCCTAAACAGGACTGCCTTCAGATGACTTTTGAAAATAGGATAGCTGCTTATTTCCTTGACATCTGAGGGGAGGGTGTTTCACAGGGAGGGCACCACTACTAAGAAAGCCCTCTGCCTGGTCCCCTGTAACCTCACTTCTCGCAATGAGGGAACCGCTGGATCTCAGTGTCCGGCCTGAACGATGGGGGTGGAGACGCTCCTTCAAGTATACTGGGCCGAGGCCATTTAGGGCTTTAAAGGTCAGCACCAACACTTTGAACTGTGCTCAGAAACGTACTGGGAGCCAAAGCAGATCTCTCAGGTCTCGGCAGCCACCCCCGTCACCAGTCTAGCGGCCGCATTCTGGATTAGTTGCAGTTTCCGGGTCACCTTCAAAGGTAGCCCCACGTAGAGCGCATTGCAGTAGTCCAAGCGGGAGATAACCACAGCAGGCACCACTCTGGCAAGACAGTCTGTGGGCAGGTAGGGTCTCAGCCTGCATCCCAGATGGAGCTGGTAAACAGCTGCCCTGGATACAGAATTGACCTGCATCTACATGGACAGCTGTGAGTCCAAAATGACTCCCAGGCTGCGCACCTGGTCCTTCAGGGACACAGTTACCCCATTCAGGACCAGGGAGTCCTCCACACCAGCCCTCCCCCGTCCCCCAAGAACAGTACTTCTGTCTTGTCAGGATTCAACCTCAATCTGTTAGCCGCCATCCATCCTTCCCCGCCTTCACTGGTTCTGCTTTGAAAGAGAGGCAGAGCTGGGTCTCATCCGCATATTGACGGACACCCAGCCCAATCCCCTGATGATCTCTCCCAGCGGCTGTATGTAGATGTTAAAAAGCGTGGGTATTATGGGAAATATATGGGAAATACCCTTTGCAAAAGCGTGTGCATTAGGCGACATCTGCACCAAAATGCTGACCAACTTTCAAGAGCTCTATTTAAAAATAAGAAGATGTGAAAATCTGGACAAATTGATGACTAGAAAAAGGAGACAGAGGAAAAGAACTTACATTGAAATGGTTTGCCTAATAGGGTTTTTTAATCTCTCCCCACACTCCCTGCAGCTGCACCCCCCCCCCCGTCTCTCCCCCTTTATAATACATAATACATACGACCCACCTCCAGCGCCTCTGCGAGGAAGGAAAGCCGCCGCCATGACAGGTATCTCTCCCCCTCAGAAGCGGGACAGGAATTCTCCCGACAGCCTTTTCCCCTCCGCGCTAGGAATATCAGCTCTGTCGCCGCTGTTCTTAACCGTTTCGGAGCCGAGCGGCAGGAGCCTCTTGACTTCTCCGGGCAAAGAGCGAGGAGAGGCGCTGGTCTCGCCTCCGGAAAGCCCCGCTGGATCAGCTGCACGGAAGCCCTAAAACGTTTTCTAAACTATTTATTATTATAATTATTTTCAATTTTCAAATTAACAAGGTTTTTACTTTGGTACATACATATCCAATCCAAATTTGCAATAACTGACTCCCCCGTTTCCATTCCCCCCTTTTATTCTCCTTGCATATAATTACTATATATTTCCTCAATTAATTTCACCTTCATTCCCCTCTCCTAATTCTATTTTTAGTTCATAAATGTTACATCAAACCTGCTAATGTTTTGACGTTTTTAGTGTTCTCTACAATAGTCTATAAGGCTTTCCCATTCTAGATTGAATTTTTTCTCATCTTGGTGCCTGATCTTCACGGAAAGTTTAGCCATTTCGGCATAGTCCATCATCTTTCCATTCTTCTTTCATTGGGACCTTGTCTTCTTTCCACATTTTCCTATGTGGTGGACGTGTAAAAAAGTAAAGGGCTTCTGGGAAATTTTTAAAAATTCTTAAAATTACGTTTGTTAAAAAAACCCAGAGGCTTTTTTACTAGGTGTAATAGGAGAAAAAATGCCAAGGAAGCAAAAGAGACTGTTTATTTATGCGATTACAGCGGCCAGAGGCTACTATCCCAGACGTGGAAAGAAGTAAAGATCCCAAAGAAAGAAGAATGGATAACTAAGATGATTGACTATGCCGAAATGGCTAATCTTACCGATCAAATGAGAAAAAATTCAATCAAGAATGGGGAAACTTTATAGACTATTTTTGAGAACATGAGTTTGTTGATCTCAATGGTCACCTAGTCCAACCCCATCTGTGTATATATGATAAATATGTGGGGCTGGTAGTTTCCTCCTCTCCGCTGAGATGTACAGAGGCAATACTGAGCCACCCACTTGGAAGGCTTAAAAAAGAGGATTGTATAAATTCAGGACTAGGCTGTCAGTGGCTACAAACCCTGATGTCTATGTTGTATTTATTTATTTATTTTTACAGTGGTACCTCAGGTTACAGATGCTCCTGTTTACAGACTCCGCTAACCCATAAATAGTACCTCAGGTTAAGAACTTTGCTTCAGGAAGGGCTTGCACCTTGTCATGGGAAATGCAAGCATTTTAGTGAACGACAGACATATGGGGGGGACCAGAGGACAGTTTCTAATAGGCATCCCTTGAAGAAGATGGCTTAAGTTTGCTGGACTATGACCTGCACTATCAGGTATTTGATCAGCAGAGTTCAGGTCCAAAATATCACCTTTCACTAGACTATGCAACAGGGAAACTGTCCTGCTAAAACACACATGCATTTTTAAATCTTTGATTGCTCTTCTGTGCAAATCTGATGTATCTAAAAATTGTAATTAAAACATAATTTGTTTTTTTTTTAGTGTTGTGTTCCAGATGAGGTTGCATCTTCTTCCGTTGCCAGATTACCAGATAAACAAATACCTGCACATAGCTGCATAGTGGATTTCACATTTTCAGAATGGGGGGGGGGATACTAGTGGAGGGGAGAGCTGGGGGGAGAACACAGCATACCTGTTTTTCAACAACATTTATGCCTAAGGGGCTAAAAGCAGTTAAAATAAAATCAACACAAGACCGTATTACAACTAAACATTGACACAAATATCAAAATGTTGCACAATGAATCCATTAGCAGATTTATCAAATCATCATCATCATTTAATATTTATATCCCACCTATCTGGCTGGGTTTCCCCAGCCACTCTGGGCGGCATACAGCACATAAAAAATTGTTAAAACATTAGACATTAAAAATTTCCCTATACAGAATTGCCTTCAGATGCCTTCTAAAAGTCAGATAGTTGTTTCTTTCCTTGACGTCCGATGGGAGGGCATTCCACAGGGCGGGTGCCACTACCAAGAAGGCCCTCTGCCTGGTTCCCTGTAACCTCACTTCTTGCAGTGAGGGAACCACCAGAAGGCCCTCGGAGCTGGACCTCAGTGTCCAGGCTGGACGATGGGAGTGGAGGTGCTCCTTCAGGTAGAATACTTCTGGCCACGCCAACAAGGGTTGGAAAATACATGGAAAATGCATAGGAAATAAAACAGAATACAGCTATGTAAACCTAACTCTGATCAGAAGAACAATCTGCAACACAGCCACTAAAAGGAATCAAAATTCTAATGGAATCAAATTCTAACGCTGAACATGATCATTGGCTTACTCTCTGTAGGAGTTATTTGATATGATTAAAGATCTTCCCACACTCCAACCCTTTCTAAGATGTTTCCCTCGTACGAGTTCTTTACTGTTTAGGAAGGGAGCCCCTGTCACTGAAGTTCTTTCCATACGCCAAACATTTCTAAGATTTCCTCCCTGTATGAGTTCTTTGGCGTCTAGTAAGCTGATAACTGCGACTGAAGCTTTTTCCACACTCCGAACATGTATACGGTTTCTCTCCTGTATGAGTTCTTTGATGCAACCTAAGGGAGCTAACACAACTGAAGATTTTTCCACACTCTGAACATGTAAACGGTTTCTCTCCTGTATGAGTTCTTCGATGCAACGTAAGGGAGCTACTGCACCTGAAGCTCCTTCCACACTCCAAACATGTATACGGTTTCTCTCCTGCATGAGTTCTTTGATGCAACGTGAGATGGCTACCGTGACAGAAGCTCTTGCCACACTCCAAACATTTATATCGTTTCTCCCCTATATGAATTCTTTCATGCGAGGAAAGGGAGTCGATGCGACTGAAGCTCTTGCCACATTCCCAGCATTTATAAGGTTTGCTGCCTCGATGAGTTTGATGATGTCTAGTAAGCCCATTGCTGCGAGTGAAGCTCATTCCACACTCCAAACACGTATGCAGTTTCTCCCCTGTATTAGTTCGTTAATGCGACTTAAGTGCGCTACTTTGAGTGAAGCTCCTTCCACACTCCAAACATGTATACGGTTTCTCCCCTGTATGAGTTCGTTGATGCGACTTAAGGATACCAATGCGACTGAAGTTCTTTCCACACTCTGAACATGTATAAGGTTTGTCTCCTGTATGAGTTCTTTGATGTAAAGTAAGGGCACCACTCTGACGGAAGCTCTTTCCACACACTGAACATTTATATGGTTTCTCCCCTGTATGAGTTCTTTGATGCGACTTAAGGGAGCTACAGCGACTGAAGCTCTTTCCACACTCTGAACATGCATACAGTTTCTCTCCTGTGTGTACTCTTTGATGTAAAGTAAGAGTGAGTGACGACCAAATCTCTTTCCACACACTGTGCATTCATGCTTTTTCTCCTCTCTGTGAATTTGATTTTCACCACCCTGAGACGTACCGGATTTACCCTCCGGCTTTTGCTTTCGTCTCCCCTCTCGCCTGCTGCCTCCATCTTGAACCCTCAGCTTCCTTTGCTCCTCCTCCTCTTTGCCTCTTTGTGGTGACACTTCTGATTGTTCCCCTTCTGCCAGCATCCCTTCAGCATCTCCTGATGGAATAAAAAGGCAAACTGATGAATTGGCGCATCTGGCAGTTCCCTCACTGTGAGAAGTCAAGTTACAAGGAACGAGGCAGAGGGCTGTCAGAGTATATTGATTTATTGCTCAGATAAGCGTCCGGCACGCTTCCCATCGCAGCTCTGGCCGGCATTCCAAAGACCACATTCCGATGCTTCTGAGCAAAGCATAGCAGAGATCAACAGCGGCAAGAGGAAGACTGCAAAAAAACTCCAGTGCATTCTTCAGTGTGCTTAAATAAAGTCCACTCAGGATCTTAGCAGCTAAAAGCAGTTTTATTTACAGCAGACTATCCATTATCTATCACAGCGAACAGCATCGCGAAAACACGTCCTCTCTCCTCAAAAGCGAAAGTAGAGAGACAGAACAAAGGCTTGAGTCTCTCGGAAATGACGCAGAAGTTCCCCCCTCCCAACAACAGTAGGCAGAGCGTACACTCTGAGCTGTTTAACCCTGTAAGCTCAGGTTCTCCTCACAAGGGCCTTCTCGGTAGTGGTGCCCAACAGAGACAGAAAAAAACTTACATTGAAACGGTTTTCCTAATAGGGTTTTTTAATCCCTCCCTACTCCCTCCAGCAGCACCACCGTTATAATAACTCCCATGACCCACCTGGAAGCTTACGAGGTTTGGACAGCCATCGCCACGTCTGCCTCTTACCTGGGACTGGACAGGAGCAGTAGCTCCTATTCGTCCCATCAGCATTTTCCTCCGACTAGGAATCTCAGCTGCTGTCGCTACTCTAACATTTTGGACAGCGCAGGACCTCTGGCAAGACCTGCTTGGAGCTCTAGAGCCTCTAAATTGCTTTTATTACAAAATATTTATTTTCAAATAACAGCAGTTCCCTTTGGTATATAGATATTCAATCCATACTCGTGATGAATGGCTTTCCTCGCCCTCCTGTTCCATCCCCCTTTATTCTCCTTGCATATAATTATATTTCTACTATTAATTTCAACTTATTTTCCCTGCACTAATTCTGATTCTTAGTTCACTGAATGTCAGCCTCAAGCCTAGCTAATGTCATGATGTTTTCAGCCAGTGCTTCTAAGGAGAGGCCTCATAGTGGCTCTTCGCAGCATTCTAACATTGCATTTTCTCATCTTGGTGCCTGATCTTCACGGTAAGTTTAGCCATTTCGGCAGAGTCCGTCATCTTAAGTTTTCCATTCTTCTTTCGTTGGGACCTTTTCTTCTTTCCACATCTGGCCTAGTAGCATTCTGGCTGCTGTAGTCGCATAAAGAAACAGTCTCTTTTGCTTCCTTAGCAATTCTTCTCCTAATTACACCTAGTAACAGCCTCATGATCTTGTCCAACAAGCGTGATTTTAGAATTTATTAAGTTCATTGTATATCATTTCCCAGCAGCCCTTTACTTCTTACACGTCCAGCCAGCATTCCAAAGAATTACCTTCCTGATGCTTACATTTGCAGTATAAGCATTAGAGGTATCTTATACAGCTTGGCAAGCTGAAGACTGCAGTAAAATACCATCGGCACATCATCTTAATAGAATTTGCTTTAATAAAGTCCATGCTAGGATCTTAGCAGCTCTTTACAGCAGTTTTATCTATGAGTCAGCCTGATCCATTATATCTATCTGCCAGTGAACAGCATCGCAGCTAACCTCTTCATCTTTCGTCTCCCATTGCAACAGTAGTTTGTAGATTCATGATAACAATGGCTTGAGTTTCTCGGAAATCCTTTGCAAACCTTTAGAAATCCTCTCCCAACAACAGCTAGGCAGAGCTGTTATATCCTGATATTCTTTCACCCTGCAATTTGCTACAGTGTTCTACTTCTGCTAACAGGCCTTCTCGGTAGTGGTGCCCAACAGAGACAGAAAAACTTACATGTTTACCGTTTTTACTAGATAGGGTTCTTAATCCTGCCTACACATCTGCCAAGCTAGCAGGTCACAGTTATAATTTCAAATTGGATGGGGGACCACGTGTTGAGATTCCTGCATTGCAGGGGGTGGACTAGATGACCCTTGGGTCACTTTCAACTCTACAATTCTAAATTTTCTCACCAGGTTCTCGTCCTCTGCCTGGCTCAGGAGGAAAACTTTGGCCAGGGCCGCCTGGGAACTGGTCTCTGCTCCACATTCCCTCACCCAGCTCTCTGTCTCTGTGGGGAGGACAGCCAGGAACTGCTCCAGGATCACTAAATCCAGGATCTGAGCCTTGGTGTGTCTCCCCAGCTTCAGCCACTGACTGCAGAGATGGTGGAGTTGGCTGCAAACCTCTTGGGGTCCCTTTGCCTCCTGGAAGTGGATCTGCCTGAGCTGTAGGATCGCTTCCTTCTGTCAGATTCCTTCCTGAAGCAAAGACAGTTGGAATGAGGGGGATCCCTTGCCCTGCAAAGCCACAAAGATGTCTTGTGACAGTCCTGTTATTAACACTCTAGAGAAAGGATTAATCGATTGATCCATTTGCAAATGCAATTCCACTCCTCCTCCTCAAAATTAAAAAAAAAATGTATAAATGGTTTCTAGAAAAGAAGAACATTTCTAAGTGATACATGCCATTGGATCCTTTAACGTGTTTTATGGTAACGTACCATTACATACCATTCTTGAGAGTCCCATGGACCGCAAGAAGATCAAACGCATCCATTCTGAAGGAAATCAGCCCTGAGTGCTCACTGGAAGGACAGATCCTGAAGCTGAGGCTCCAATACTTTGGCGACCTCATGAGAAGAGAAGACTCGCTGGAAAAGACCCTGATGTTGGGAAAGATGGAGGGCACAAGGAGAAGAGGACGGCAGAGGACAAGATGGTTGGACAGTGTTCTCGAAGCTACCAGCATGAGTTTGACCAAACTGCGGGAGGCAGTGGAAGACAGGAGTGCCTGGCGTGCTCTGGTCCATGGGGTCACGAAGAGTCGGACACGACTAAACAACTAAACAACAACAACCATTGCATTCAAAACAGTAAATGGGCCATTTTGACTCCCAAACTGACCAAATGTTTCTCTGCAAGGAGGGAGAGGGTGAGGGAAGCTTCCCATTGCCTCAGGAATTAAGTGATTACCATCTCAAAGGAATGGGCAGACTACCAGGAAAGACAATCAGATAAGGCATTATCAGATAACCTGGCAGACAGGAGTTAAACAAAGCACTCAGATTTCTGTTGCAGACCGCCTTTTCAGTTAGGGTTTACAACTCAGGGCTCTCACTCCAGATTAATCTCAAAGTTGTGGCGCCAGCCGCAAGACCGGGCCTTTGCGCATCTCCGGGAGAGGCAGAATTTACAAGAGCCGCGGTTCTTCTTTTCTAGAAACCATTTATACAATGGTTCGAGAACACTGTCCCACCATCTCATCCTCTGTCGTCCCCTTCTCCTTGGGCCCTCCATGTTTCCCAACATCAGGGTCTTTACCAGAGAGTCTTCTCTTCTCATGAGGTGGCCCAAGTATTGGAGCCTCAGCTTCAGGATCTGTCCTTCCAGTGAACACTCAGGGCTGATTTCCTTCAGAATGGAGAGGTTTGATCTTCTTGCAGTCCATGGGACTCTCAAGAGTCCCCTCCAGCACCATAATTCAAAAGCATCCATTCTTCGGCAATCAACCTTCTTTATGGTCCAGCTCTCACTTCCATACATCACTTACTGGGAAAACCATACGGACCTTTGTTGGCAAGGTGATGTCTCTGCTTTTTAAGATGCTGTCTAGGTTTGTCATTGCTTTTCTCCCAAGAAGCAGGCATCTTTTAATTTCGTGACTGCTGCCTGGACGATATCCGATATCTTTATTGTCATTGTCCCATACAGAACAATGAAATTGAAAAACTACATAAAACATTCAAAAAACCCTAAAAACTCTGAAACCCCATTTTAAAATACAATATACTATAGAGACCCCTTATGCTGCGTTTAGAACCAGAATTGCATTTGCGTAGAAACTGTTTCTCAGGCGGCCAGTCCTGGCTTTTATAACCCTGTACTGTACCTTCTTCCAGAAGGCAGAAGCTGAGGAAGAAAGGGTTAAAGCGAAGCGGAGGAGAGCGATTCCTAGAGAGGAAGGAAATTGGGACAGGAGAGGGGGGAGCGTGTCCTCTAAAGCAAAAGACTTCACCCCTCCAGCTTTGCAAAGGGAACCTTGGAGAGAAGCCGGAGGTTTGGTGCGCGCAAGGAGCGCAAAGAGAAGATTTTTTTTTTGCAAGCCGGAAGCCGGTTCCTGGAAGGTGGTGCGCCTCCACCTGGGGAAAGTGGCCTTTGTCCTTTCCCCCCGGGGGTGTGTGGATCTGGTGAGCCCCCTCCTCTTGCATTTGGGTGAAGGAGACCCACAGAGAATATGGGGAGGGGGGAAATGCAAGGGAGAAAAGCGAGAGGCGGGTTGCAGAGACGCAGAGTAGCTGGACAGTGACTGGAGAGAAAACGGGCAAGAGGCAGGGGGTTGAGCAGAGCAGGTGCCATAGAATAATAGCATTGTAGAGTTGGAAGGGACCCCAACCCTCCGCAATGCAGGGATATCAGCTAGATTGGCCTGGCATCGGTGGCCTAATTTTGTTGTTGTTGTTTAGTTGTGTCCGACTCTTCGTGACCCCATGGACCAGAGCACGCCAGGCACTCCTGTCTTCCACTGCCTCCCGCAGTTTGGTCAAACTCATGCTGGTAGCTTCGAGAACACTGTCCAACCATCTTGTCCTCTGTCGTCCCCTTCTCCTTGTGCCCTCCATCTTTCCCAACATCAGGGTCTTTTCCAGGAGTCTTCTCTTCTCATGAGGTGGCCAAAGTATTGGAGCCTCAGCTTCACGATCTGTCCTTCCAGTGAGCACTCAGGGCTGATTTCCTTCAGAATGGAGAGGTTTGATCTTCTTGCAGTCCATGGGACTCTCAAGAGTCTCCTCCAGCACCATAATTCAAAAGCATCAATTCTTCAGCCTTCTTTATAGTCCAGCTATCACTTCCATACATCACTACTGGGAAAACCATATCTTTAACTATTCGGACCTTTGTTGGCAAGGTGATGTCTCTGCTTTTTATGATGCTGTCTAGGTTTGTCATTGCTTTTCTTCCAAGAAGCAGGCGTCTTTTAATTTCGTGACTGCTGTCACCATCTGCAGGGATCATGGAGCCCAAGAAAGTATATCTTAATATATCTTGCATTGATTGAGCTCCAAGCATGAAGGGTCTGGAAACCAAGTCTTAGGAGGGCTGTCACGTGGAAGAGGGAGCATGCTTGTTTTCTCCTGCTCTGGAGGGTAGGATTCGAACCAATGGCTTCAGGTTACAAGAAAGGGGATTTGTTATGTACTGAGTTGAATAGGATCCAAAAGGCAGCAGTCTGATTGGTCCTAGAACAATAGGATTCAGAATGCAGCAGTCTGATTGGTCCTAAAACAATAGGATCCAGAATGCAGCAGTCTGATTGGCCCACAGGAGCCACCCAATCCAGCTCCAGGTGGAAGTGAATCCGCAACCAGATTGGCCTACAGGTGAATCCCAGAATTAGCCAATCACGTGATTGCCCAGAAAAAGAGATGGCAAGTTGTAAATATAAACTACCTGGAGGATATTTCGCCTTCTCTTCCAGGATCCTGCGCCTTTGAAGCAGAGGCTGTACATTTCCCCTAGAATACCCTGATGGATCCGGACCAAAGGGAAGCCCTGGAGGAGGAGAAGCCTGGAATCGTGGCCTTTCTGGGTAAGAGCCCCCTTTCCCCTTGGTTGATGGCGAAAAACAATAATCACAGCCTTTTTTTTTCTTTTCTTTTCTTGTATGTTTCCTTGCTACATTTCGTCACCCTGCATCTTCGCCTTCCAGCCTGGCTGGGCTTCCGGGGTCCCTTTCCAGGAATCCCTTCAGCTGGCAGACCTTTGTCAAAGCCACAACAGATGGTGGCAGGCTTGGATGTTGGATGTCCAGCTCCTTCCTTGATTTTAGAAGAAGCTGAAGGATGCCCCAAGTCTCATATGGGCACATAAGAGCATCAGGCATGCCCTGTTTTGATCAGGGACGGGAAGGAGATTATCGTATTTTTCGCCCTATAGGACGCACTTTTTCCCCTCCAAAAATGAAGGGGAAATGTGTGTGCGTCCTATGGGGCGAATGCAGGCTTTCGCTGAAGCCTGGAGAGCGAGGGGGTCGTGCGCACCGACCCCTCTCGCTCTCCAGGCTTCAGGAAGCTCTGCGCAACTCTCGGGAGACTGGTGCGACTTTGTGCTGGTCTCCCGAGGGCTGCGCAGAGCTGCCTGCAGCCCCGGGCTTTGTGCAGCTCTGCGCAGCCCTAGGGAGCCCGGCGCGAAGTCGGATAGCAGGCTGTTCTCAGGGCTGGGGTTGGGGGAAGCTCGGGCTTCCCCTGCTCCAGCCCCACGCCTGGGGGGAAATTTTTTTTTTCTTTATTCCCCCCCCCCCAAAAAAACCTAGGTGCGTCCTATAGGGTGGTGCGCCCTATGGGGCGAAAAATACGGTAAATTATTATTATTATTATTATTATTATTATTATTATTATTATTATTTTGCTTCTTGCCCCCAAATCCTTCCCTTGCCCCCATAAGACCTAATCTCCAGCCTCAATCTTTTCCTGTATGTGGGAGGTGATTAAATAATAATAATAAATAATAATAATAATAATAATAAAAAATTCCAGACTTTCCACCTTCCCTCTCCTTACTCACAAATCCTTCCCCTGCCCCTAGTCTTTCCCCCTCATCCTCTTAGTTTCACATCTCAGCTTCCCCCTTCCTGATGCTCCAAAACCCCAAACCTAGAGAGTGGTGTTCAAAAAAGAATAATATATTATTCTATTCTATTCTATATTAAAATTTTCTGTTTTACAATTTTGAATACGTATTCATTTAAACATCCTTAGGATAACAATGACTTCCTTTCTTCTCTTTCCATGGTTCACTTTGCTAATCATAAATCCCTGCATATTTTACAGAAACTATACCATTCAGTATTCCATGATTACATCCATCAAAACTTATTTACACACTTGAATTTATCTTAATGCTGCCAACGTTTTCGGGTGTACACAATTTCCCCTCATATATTCAATAAACATTTTCAAATCTTCTCTAAATGTATGTTCTTCTTGTTCTCTTATTCTATATGTTAAGTCTGCAAGCTGCGCGTATTCCATCAGTTTATGTTGCCATTCTTCTTTAGTTGAGACCTCGCTTGTTTTCCATTTTTGGGCAAACAAAACACAGGCCGAAGTAGTGGCATACATAAATAACCTTTTCTGACACCTGGGAATTTCTGTCTGAATTATCCCCAACAAAAAGGACTCTGGTTTTTTGGGTGAAAGTGCTTTTAAACATCCCCCCCCCCCCAATTCATTGTGGATTGTTTCCCAATACAGTGGTGCCTCGCAAGACGAAAAGAATCCGTTCCGCGAGTCTCTTCGTCTTGCGGGTTTTTTCGTCTTGCAAAGCAAGCCCATTAGCGGTTTAGCGGATTAGCGCTACAGTATTAGCGGCTTAGCGGGCTTAGCGGATCAGCTGATAAGCAGCTTAGCGATCAGCTGTTAAACGGCTTAACGATAAGCTGATAAGCGGCTTAACAATCAGCTGATAAGCGGCTTAGAGATCAGCTGTTAAGCGGCTTAGCCGATCAGCTGATAAGCGGTTTAGCGGCTTGGGAAAAAGGGGGGGAAAGGGAAAAAACCCCGCAGGAACTCGCAAGACATTTTCGTCTTGCGAAGCAAGCACATAGGAAATTCGTTTTGCGAAGCACCTCCAAAACAGAAAACCCTTTCGTCTAGCGGGTTTTCCGTCTTGCGAGGCATTCGTCTTGCGGGGCACCACTGTACGTTTTTTTACCCTTTTACAGGTCCACCACATATGAAAGAACGTTCCCTCAATTTCCTTGCTTCTCCTCTGTATTCTAAAAGGGCAAGGAGAGAGGTTTGCCTAAAAGCAAACTTCCCTCAATCTTGAGTCCTTCTCTTGTCGGACTACAATCCCCATCATCCTTAGCCAGCATGGCCAGCAATCAAGGATGATGGGAGCTGTAGTCTCAACAATATCTGCAGTTTGGGGAAGGCTGGCATGAATTTTAGCAACTTAACAGCGTAATCCTGTACATGCCCATCTGATTCCGAACCAGGTTTTAAGGACCTTGTATTAGTTTGCAAAGCCCCAAACAACTTAGGTCCAGGCTACCTCAGGGACCGCCTCGTGGCGATCACACACAGGGGCCCCGGACGTTTGACGGTCTATTGACCCTGTGCCGCCTCTGCCATTGCTTTTTCCGCTGCCACCACCCCGTATCTCACGGGGACACACGGAGTCCAGTCAGTTGTTAACATAAACAAATAATCAAGTTTATTTTTAAATGCAGGAACAAGCTTATGGTTTCAGTTAATTTTACTTGGCAGTTTCTTATTCTTAGTTCCTAACAACTTCAAACTGATTATTCCCAACTATCTATCTGACTCCACCTCACAAGTCCTCTCACTCTCTCACAATACAACTCTACCAACCCACATCTAAACCTCCCTCTTCCTTCTTCAACTCCCAAACCTCAACTCACTCCCAAACCTCAACTCTCAACAACCCAAACCTCAACTCAACTGACTTTCAAAACCTCCCACTCTAACTTTTACTCCCCCCTTGCATTCTCACTGGCCAAACACATCACACCTATTTTAACCCTTTCCTTCTGACCCATCCTAGGAGGCAAACGCCTGAATTACGATTAAAACCTACTTCAGTGATCTCAAGGTTGCCCGGAGCAGCATTTTTCAGCCACCAAATGCCTGGGTGAACAGGAATCATTTCTTTTCTTTTTTGATAATAATTTTTATTAGTTTTCAATTATAATTCAATAATAGCCTCATTATAACAATACCAATTTATAATACAATTACTAATACCAATCGTTCAAATACCGAATTATGTAATTTAGATAAGGTGTGTTAGAATTGATGGTTTGATGATTTTATTTTTTTTCTGCGTTCCAAAATCTTATAAATATCAATTACATTCCGGTCGTCATAATAATCCCTTATACAACAACTGCAATATTAATAACTTATATTTGTATTGACACCTTAAATGATTTATAAAACTACAAGTGAAGCACTCAAACTATATCCTTGTTCTTCCTGTGTGTGGCAGTTACTCTGTGCACGGTGTTTCTTCCTGTCCCTGTAAAATGTTATGTCTATCTTTTCCTGGTTGTTGCTGTTGCCTTGGGCGGAGCAGATATCCCATTGTTGTTCCATAAATATCTCCCTCACTCTGTCCCATCCGTTGTTGTTTTGCAAAACAAGAATGTTTTCAGATTCCTCCTGAAAAATAATAATGATAGAGGCAGGCTCACCTCACTAGGGAGGGCATTTCCACTATTGGGGAGCCACCACCGAAAAGGCCCTGTCATTTGTCAAAATTACAAAGAGGTACTCACTGTTCTGACCCTTGCCACGAAAAAGGTTGTCCGCCCCGTGCGCCTTCTTTGATATCAGACTCTTATTTCCCATTTGGGCTGTTACTAATTAATTGTCTCTCCTTTTTCCTGAACGCTCTGTCACAAGAGACTAGGGCCCTGACATCTTTCCACAGGGCCTGCAAGACAGAGCTGTTCCACCAGGCCTTTGGTCAGGGCGCAGCCTGACTCCCTCCTCTGGCAATCTGCACAGAATTTTGCTTAATGGTTGCCATCAATTTGATTTTAATTAATTTTTATAATGAAATGTTTTTAGAATATTGGATTATTTGATTGTTGTTAGCCGCCCTGAGCCCGGCTTTGGCTGGGGAGGGCGGGATATAAATAAAATTTATTATTATTATTATTATTCCAGGACATGACAGGAGAGAGAGGGAGAATGAAGATGAACCACACAGGGTGTTGTTAGACAGAACCAGATGTGAAGAGGAAGAAGGGAGAACAAAACCTGAAGTGAAACACATACTAAGCGAATCCTCTGCTTTTCAGAGCGCTGAGATTTCTGAAATCCCAGTCCAAGAAAACATAGGCGAAGGAGAGGAAAGGAGCCAGTGCCTTGTGTGTGGGGAAAGCTTTGCCTGCAAATTGAGCCACATTGCTCATTGGAAAATCCACACAGGGGAGAAACCATTTAAATGTTCGGACTGTAACAAAAGCTTCAGCGATAAGTCAACCCTTAGAAAACACCAGAGAATCCACACGGGTGAGAAACCATATAAATGCATGGAGTGCGGACAGAGCTTCAGTCAGAGCACAAGCCTCACTTCCCATCACAGAATCCACACAGGGGAGAAGCCCTATAAATGCATGGAGTGTGGAAAGTGTTTCAGCACTTGTAAATATCTCACGATTCATCAGAGAATCCACACAGGAGAGAAACCATTTAAATGCCTGGAGTGTGGAAAGAGCTTTAACAGGAGAGATGCTCTTACTTCACATCAAAAAATCCACACAGGGGAGAAACCATACAGATGCTTAGAGTGCGGAAAGTGCTTCAGCAACAGCAAGTATCTCACTTCACATCAGAGAATCCACACAGGGGAGAAACCGTTTAAATGTTTGGAGTGTGGGAAGTGTTTTAATAAGAGGGATGGCCTTGTTGCCCACCAAAATATTCACAGAGGGGAAAAACCATATAAGTGTTTGGAGTGTGGGAAGAGCTTCAGTAGCAGCAAGTACCTGACTTCTCATCAAAGAGTCCACACAGGAGAAAAACCTTTTAAATGTGTGGAGTGCGGAAAGAGTTTCAGGCAGAAGATAAATCTCACTACCCATCAACGAACTCACACAGGGGAGAAACCGTATCCGTGCTTGAGGTGTGGAAAAAGTTTTAGCCAGCAGACTAACCTCACTGCACATCAGAAAATCCACACAGGGGAGAAACCCTATAAATGTTTGGAGTGCGGAAAGAGGTTTAATCATAGCACAAGCCTCACTCACCATCAACAACTTCACACGGGAGAGAAACCCTATAAATGTGTGGAGTGCGGGAAGAGCTTCAGTACGAGCGCCAGCCTTACTTCACATCAAATTATCCACACGGGGGAGAAACCCTATAAATGTCTGGAGTGTGGAAAGCGGTTTAGCGATCGCAGAAACCTCCGTTCACATCAGAGAATCCACACAGGGGAGAAGCCGTATGTGTGCTTGGAGTGTGGAAAGAGGTTTAGTCATAGAACCAACCACAGTTCACATCAGAAAATCCACACAGGGGAAAAATCTTTTAAATGCTTAGAGTGTGGAAAGAGTTTCTTTTTCAGCACCAGTCTGATTTCGCACCAAACTCTCCACACAGGGGAGAAACCGTATAATTGTATGGAATGTGGGAAGAGCTTCAGTAGCAACAAATACCTCACAGCTCACCAACGAATCCACACGAGGGGGAAGCCATTTAAGTGCTCAGAGTGCGGAAAGAGCTTCCGTCAGAGTTCAGACTTCACTTCTCATCAGAGAACCCACACAGGGGAGAAACCGTACAAATGTCTGGAGTGTGGAAAGAGGTTCAGTACTAGCAAATACCTCGCTTCCCACCAACGGATTCACAGCGGGGAGAAACCATATACATGCTCAGAGTGTGGTAAGAACTTCACACACAAGACAAATCTCACCAAACATCAAAGAATCCACAGAGCAGATAAACCGCAGAACTGTTAAGGAATGCAGAATTTGTTTCATCTAATCCTGAGGTCTGTTTTGGAATTGCTGTTGGTGAATGTACTGAATCTTAATCCAAGATGGAGGCACTATTGCTAGGGGTGCTGGCGACTTTGAGACTGGGTTTCTCTTCCACCTTTAGAAGCAAATCTGAAGCTTAGGGATACTCCTTAGGGATACTCCTTCAGCTCCTAGGTTTTGCAGCTGAAGATAAGGCCTACTCTCCCTTGCTGTACCCTTTCAAGATAAACCTCACTACACATCACGGAAAAGGAAAACAAAAATTCCTGAATTGTTGGGTTAGGCAACGCAATGCATCCTCAATTCTCATCCACAAATTCACTCAGGAGAGAAATGAGATAACTGATCTGAGTTTCAAATCAGAACCAGTGAAGGCGGAGAAGGTCCTGTGTGAGTGCCTGGAGGCTGTTGGAGGATGGATGGCGGCTAATGGATTGAGGTTGAATCCTGACAAGACAGAAGTACTGTTTTTGGGGGACGGGGCGGGCTGCTGTGGAGGACTCCCTGGTCCTGAATGGGGTAACTGCCCCTGAAGGACCAGGTGCGCAGACTGGGAGTCATTTTGGACTCACAGCTGTCCATGGAGGCGCAGGTCAATTCTGTATCCAGGGCAGCTGTCTACCAGCTCCACCTGGTACGCAGGCTGAGACCCTACCTGCCCGTGGACTGTCTCACCAGAGTGGTGCATGCTCTAGTTATCTCCTGCTTGGACTACTGCAATGCGCTCTACGTGGGGCTACCTTTGAAGGTGACCCGGAAACTACAACTAATCCAGAATGCGGCAGCTAGACTGGTGACTGGGGGCGGCCGCCGAGACCACATAACACCAGTCTTGAAACACCTACATTGGCTCCCAGCATGTTTCCAAGCACAATTCAAAGTGTTGGTGTTGACTTTTAAAGCCCTAAACGGCCTTGGCCCAGTATACCTGAAGGAGCGTCTCCACCCCCCTCGTTCTGCCCGGACACAGGTCCAGCGCTGAGGGCCTTCTGGCAGTTCCCTCACTGCAAGAAGCCAAGTTACAGGGAACCAGGCAGAGGGCCTTCTCGGTAGTGGCGCCTGCCAGGTGGAACGCCCTCCCATCAGATGTCAAAGAGATAAACAACTACCTGACATTCAGAAGACATCTGAAGGCAGCCCTGTTCAGGGAAGTTTTTAATGAATGACATCTTAGTGTATTTTTGGTCTTTGTGGAAGCCGCCCAGAGTGGCTGGGGAAACCCAGCCAGATGGGCGGGGTACAAATAATAAATTATTATTACAGAAAGCACTATGCCAGGGAAAAACCATATAAAAGCCTGGTGTACAGAAGGAGTTTTTCTTGGAAGACCATTGTCACTAAACATCAAAGAATCCACACAGCAGAGAAACGACAGAAAAGCCAGGGGTGCAGAATGACTCGGAGCCAAACTGGTTTCCCTCTGGTTTTCTTGAACTACATGCTCCTTGGTTGGGGCTGGTGGAAGTTGTAATCTGAGGGCACCAGGTTGGAGGACAGCTGAACTATAGTCACAGCACAATCCCCGAGTTAATTCTGGAGTGGCCAGTATTGACTGTATTGAATTCTAATGGACATGAGAGAGCTGCTATTGGCTGAGATTCTTGTGGGGCTCCCCCTCTTTTGAATGGAGTCTACACCACATTTAAGTCACCACAATGCCACTTTTAAAATTCATGGCAGAGAGTTGTTAGGAGAGCGTCTGTTCCCATCAGAGAGTTACAATTCCCAGAGTTCCCTGTGAAGAGGAGGCAGCTCAAACGCCTCTCATAATTGATGTGTACACTTAACTGAAATGTGTTACTGAACTTACTGAAAATGTGTTGTCGTCGTTACCGTTTAGTAATAGGCAAATTAATGCATCTAGCTGAAAGTTGTTAGGAGACCCAAAATTCTCCTTACAGAGCTGCCGGTCTTGGAGGTCCCTGTAAAGAAGAACTGATTGTTAAATCCCTCTGGGAACTGTGGCTCTGTGAGAGGCGTCGGGAGTCCCAGTGTGGATTATAACAAACAAAACACAGTTAGAATCATAGAATCGCAAGGGTCTTCTCGCTCAGGAATTCTGCCCCAAGCCGTCCTTAGGTGGGCTCGAACCACCAACCTTTTGGTTAACAGCCAGAAACACTCACTTATTGGCCCGTGAGACTTTAAAGCAACTTATGAATCACAGAATAAGATGGGTCCTAAAAATAAACATCTGAGGTGTCGGAAGGGCAACGAGGATTGTCTTTTGAGGGGAGGTGGGGATTAATCAGAAAAGTCTCCCAAGTCAGTGGTCCCTAAACCTTTTCTCCCATGGACCACTTGGAAATTGATGAGGGTCTTGACCAGGGGTCAGCAAACTTTTTCAGCAGGGGGCCGGTCCACTGTCCCTCAGACCTTGTGGGGGGCCGGACTATATTTTTTCTGGGGGGAAATGAACGAATTCCTATGCCCCACAAATAACGCAGAGATGCATTTTAAATAAAAGGACACATTCTACTCATGTAAAAGCACACTGATTCCTGAACCATCCGTGGGCCAAATTTAGAAGGTGACTGGGCCGGATCTGGGCCCCGGGCCTTAGTTTGCCTACCCATGGTCTTGACAGATCTCCCCAAACACTCTCCCCTCCCCACAACACTTTTTGGTGCAAATCCATCATTTTAGAGAAGCCATTTTAAGATCCCACATCTATCGTGGCACAAATTCCCCCTGCCATTTAAATGGATTAATGCCTTTCTCCCTTTATTCATACATGTCCCAGAAATTCACGTCCCTACGATTAATTTAGGATTGAGGTTTGGCTGTAAAATTGCCCACTGGCATTTCGCACCCGGGCCGCAGGCCTGAGTAGGCCGGCAGGTCGACCTGTGGAGCATCTCCCTGTTGCTACAAGACCGATTGCTTGATAAAATATATTTGTATATCACCATTTCATTTTTAAAAATATTGACGTGGTTTACAACAATTAGAGCACAATAAAGAAAAATACAAAAAATTGACGCAGATCGCCAGCTATTAAAGAAAACGCTTTTCTTTGATGGTCTGCATAACCCTGGAGGCAAAGACATGCTGAAGATTGTCTTGTGTTCTCTATTTAAATTACAGTAGAATCGTTGAGTTGGAAGGGACCCAGAGGGTCATGTAGTCCAACCCCCTGCAATGCAGGAATCTCAACACGCTGTCGCCCATCCAATTTGAAACCATATCAGGCCCTGCTTAGCTTTGCAAATGTGCTAGCATTTCTAAACTTTGCAAATGCCTCTATTTACTAGTGCATGTAAATGTGGAGCAAATCTGCAGACTCTTTTCGGGAACATGTCAACGCCTTACTTAGGTCGGGACCAGGGATCTTGTACTTTTTTCCTGTAGAAGACATAATCCAAGGGTCGGTAGCCTTTGCCTCATCCAGATGACGCTGAACTTCAGTTTTCATCATCCCTGACCATTGGCAAGGGCTGATGGGCATTAACGTTTATTTGTTCATTTATTAAATTTCTATACAGTGGACGCTGTTTATTTGTTCATTTATTAAATTTCTATACAGTGGACGCTGTTTATTTGTTCATTTATTAAATTTCTATACAGTGGACGCTGTTTATTTGTTCATTTATTAAATTTCTATACAGTGGTACCTCAGGTGAAGTACTTAATTTGTTCCGGAGGTCCGTTCTTTTTTTTTTTTTTTTTTTAAATCATATTTATTGAAGTTTCCAAAAATATAAAAGTACAAAGAAAAAAGATAAAAGAAAGAAGATATTTAAAAACCTTAATTTCATTCCCTACTTTCTGGAACTCCCCCTCCCCCGGTTGTATTCCCCTTTCCTTAATTTGGTTCTACAAGCTCTCACTCCCAAATTTAAAGCTTAATTTGTTTAACCCACTATCCAATTTGAATTGTACAAATCTTACCACCGTCCCACATCATTAACAGAAAAAGACAAAAGATTCTCCCCAACATCCACCCCACTTCCTTCCACACATGCCCAATTATTTTAAACACGTCCGATCAAATTAAAATAAAATGCGCAAGTTATTTAAAGAAATAGTACTTAAACTCTTTAGAACAGTTCAAAAAATGGTTACACAGCCTTTGGATTTCAAATCTCCCCCCTTCCCGGTTTGAATTCCCCATGTCCATCAGTCTATACATTATCAGCTTGGAAATCTCATTTCATGACCAAATTTCTCCCGATTCCATCTTGCCGGTTTTCTTTTAGTTTATTAATTTAAATAATATTTGACTTCAAATGTCCAATCTAACAAAGGCCTTTAATTTCCTTGATCTTTACCACTCCTCCCGTTGTTCTTTCCGTGTCGTAATCAGTCCTTTATTCTTCTTATTCCTCACTTTCTCAGGTTTCTTGTCCTGTTCAGCTGCTAAAACTTTCTAATTCAGAAATCTAGTGTCTCTGCAGAGGTTTGTTATTCAGGAACAAAAACTTACGTCCAGTCCCTTTCTTTCTTCAATAAAAAATTCCATTGTCTTCCTCTGTAGACAAAATACTCTTTCAGTTTTGCAGCTTTCCCAGAAGATAACAAATCCTGTGCGAATCCCAGGGTATTTTTCCACTTACGACCGTTCTTGTAGTATCCTGAAACCCCTCTAGGGGATTGTAATAACTTTGTATCCTCTAATCCAAAAGTCAAATTGTTGCTTATTTTCCAACAGTTTATATCCATATTATAGCAAATTGTAGCAAAATTTACCAGCAAAGTCCTCATAAAGTCCTCTTTATATTCTCCAGCTTTGACAGCCACTTTGACAGCTGTCAAAGTCTCCGTCTCTCTTCACCAGGCTCCACGAATCGCCCCGGTTCCCAGGGGGGGGGTTGCATTTTTCTTCTCATCCTCCACTCTTCTCCTCCAGCACATTTCTTATAATTTCCCATCGTGGAATTAATGATTTTTATCAGAAACATACTTCCCTTTGGACCTTGGTTACCCAGTCCTTGTTTTGGAATGCTTACAATAGGGGGGGGGATTGACTTCCTTTTTAAATCGCCCCCGCTCGTGCCAAATCCAAAATCCAAAATTTTAAACCCGGTTTCCCAATTACTCACGGGTTGTTGTTAAAAGTCCAAATTTTCAATAGAAGAAGTCAGCGCTCTCCGTCGAATGGCATGCGGCTGCGCTCGGCAGGGAAAGCAGTGGACTCAAAGCACCACGCCACTCCCCGGCACCCGATCCGAAGCCTTTAAAAAGGCTCCTTCACGAGTCGGGAGGGCGCTAATGGTGCAAGCCGAGTCACCCATGTCCACGGACTCCGTGCCCGTGGTTTTTAAGGGTCCCCGCGTCGCCGGCGCGGTAGGACCCAGCCCCTGCCGAGCAGACTCCCTCCGGAGCTCGGAGGGAGTCCGCCATTCGGCGATGGCGCTAACCCGGAAGTCCTGAAACCCGTTCTTAACCTGAAACTGTTCTTAACCTGAAGCACCACTTTAGCTTATGGGACCTCCTGCTGCTGCGTTGCCGGAGCACGATTTCTGTTCTCATCCTGAAGCAAAGTTCTTAACCCGAGGTACTATTTCTGGGTTAATGGAGTCTGTAACCTGAAGCGTATGTAACCCGAGGTACCACTGTACAGTGGACGCTCGGGTTGCGAACGTGATCCGTGCGGGATGCACATTCGCAACCTGCAGCGGCGCGTCTGCACAGGTTGCGATTCAGTGCTTCTGCGCATGCGCGACCGCCGAAACCCGGAAGTAACCCGTTCCGGTATTTCCAGGTTTCGGGGGTCTGTAACCCGAAAAAACACAACCTGAAGCGTCTGTAACCCAAGGTATGAATACTGCCATCCTAGGATCAAAATCAACAAGCCCTCTTACAATGGCCATGGGTTGGCTAGTGCAGCAAAGGCCTGGTAGAAGAGGAATGTTTTTGCCTGGCGCCTATGTAATGAAGGCACCAGGTAAGCCTCCCTGAGGAGAGCATGCCACAAATGAGGAGCCACCACAGAAAAGGCCCTGTTCTCGTGTTGCCACCCTCTGGACATCTCATGGAGGAGGCACACGAAGAAGGCCCTCAGATGATGATTGCAGGGTCCGGGTTGGTTCATATGGAGGAGAAGCAGTCCTTGAAACCTGCTTGTTCCTCAGCCCTGGCATAACCTAAACAGGTTCTCAGGTGGGGTGGCGTTACCATGCCAGTGGTGGCCAAAACTGGGTGGGTACAGTGGAGGCAGAACATAGCTACCATGCCTACTGGCCATTGCTAGCATTATCCTCCACGAATTAGTTTAATCGCATTTGGAATACTCTGAATGCCAGTTAAACTATGGAACTCACTGCCACAGGAGGCAGTGATCACTGCCAGCATGGGTGGCTTTAAAATACAAGCATCTGCAAGGATTAATTTCTTTTTTTAAAAAAATAGTATTTTGGTCTTTATATTTTGACATTTACCTTTTGCACCCACGCGTCTCAGAAAACATAAGTAAAGCACTTAATCACTTTCCGCCGTATTGCAACGCTGCAGTGAAGAGCTTATGATTTCCGTTGTTTAAACTTGCCTACTTTTGTTTTCTCTTGGCCTACAAGCAACTGGATTTGTATTTGGCACAGCAATTTCGGAAACGTTTTCGTAATACTGAAACTTGGTAATAATAAGAGAATGTTGTTGTTGTTTAGTCATATCCGACTCTTCGTGACCCCCTGGACCAGAGCACGCCAGGCACTCCTGTCTTCCACTGCCTCCCGCAGTTTGGTCAGACTCATGGTGGTAGCTTCGAGAACACTGTCCAACCATCTCATCCTCTGTCATCCCCTTCTCCTTGTGCCCTCCATCTTTCCCAACATGAGGGTCTTTTCCAGGGAGTCTTCTCTTCTCATGAGGTGGCCAAAATATTGGAGTCGGCTTCAGGATCTGACCTTCCAGTGAGCACTCAGGGCTGATTTCCTTCAGAATGGAGAGGTTTGATCTTCTTGCAGTCCATGGGACTCTCAAGAGTCTCCTCCAGCACCATAATTCAAAAGCATCCATTCTTCGGCGATCAGCCTTCTTTATGGTCCAGCTCTCACTTCCATAATAAGAGAATAATAATAAATAAAAGAGGATTAGACAAATTTCTGGGGGAGAGGGCTATTGCTGGAAACCACAAGAGGGGAGTGCGCTCTTGTGTTCGAATCCTGCTTCCGGGTTTCCCTCAGGCATCTGGTTGGCCATTGTGAGAACAGGATTCTGGTCTACATTGGCCATTGGACTGATCCGGATTGAGGGCTGTATTGGAAAGTCTACCTTAAAACAGCTGAGTGAGACGCCTGTCTGCTAATGAGACCCAACTCTATTTCTTTTTCAACTTTTCTTTATATATATATATAAAAAGATTTAAGAAGTATAGAAAAGGATCTGTTACAGCCAAGTAGATAAAGTCCGTGAAGAATCTATTCCATAGGATTACAACCCCTGAAAATCTAAACTGACAAAATAGGAACATTTCACTGAACACAAAACAAACAGAAGCCTGTTAAAAAACCAACAAACTTGGTTAAATTACATTTATTCTTACGCGAGAGATTTAAAACCAATTCATTTCCTTCCTTAATTCCTGTTGGGTGTTAGATAGTTCGCTCCATGCACATTTTCTCAAATTACAACGGATATTTAAATATCCAAGGTGGCAGTGCTATATGTTTTGTTTTTTTAAAAGTTATTTTTATTTGATTGAAACCACCAGTTCAGTGACATGTAGCAAATAAGGAAACAGGAAGAAAAGTAAATAAAAATTAAACATATGAAGAAAAAACGAGGAGGGAGAAATCAGGGTTGTTGCATTCACAGTCCCTGGGAATTATAACCCTAGAAGTGTGAATTTGGAAGGGACCCCAAGGGCCATCTAGTCTGACCCCCTGCAATGCAGGAATGATCCCACCAGCCGCAGAAGTGCTGCTGAAAAGGTGCAATGCTGCAGCACCGTTTGCTGGGGTAAAGGTCCCTAGCCTCTGCTGCGTCCAGTTAACTCGGTGGCAGGATTGCACCGAAAACATCCAACTGAGATTTCCTTGGAGAACAGCAAGCTAGGAGCACCCAAAATTTGTCACAGGGTCAGCCGACTGCTGAAGGTCCCTATCCGGCCCCGGTCTTCCCAACGGCAGCTGTTGCCGGACACTTCAGTCACCCGCTGGACGCCTGCTGAGCGTTCATCTTTCCATGCCACTGCTATTTCCTCCTGGGCGGCTGGAGAATGTGGCTGTGCCGGCAAGCTGCCTCTAAGACGAAGGCCGGCTCCTGACGAAGCCCCCAGCGGCCCCTTTGTAGCTGGCGAGTGTTCTCCGTCTGAGGTGGGGGGCGTGGAGTCGTCCTCCGAGTCTGTGGGGTCCTCTGGCAAGGCTGGAATGAAAGAGGAGGGCCTGGTTAGGTGGGGGCCAAGCTACACACCCATCCTGCCTCAGATTGTAAAGATGCACAAAGTCTTTGCAGGAGCCAACCTGCAGTAAATCACACCCAGCAAGCGAGACTTAACTCTTTATTAGCAAGGTTCTTTTTATCATATGTGGTGGTCTTGTTACTAGGTTAAGGCTTACTGGGGAATGATATACAGTGGTACCTTGGGTTACAGACGCTTCAGGTTACAGACTCCGCTAACCCAGAAATAGTACCTCGGGTTAAGAACTTTGCTTCAGGATGAGAACAGAAATTGTGCGGCAGCAGCGGGAGGCCCCATTAGCTAAAGTGGTGCTTCAGGTTAAGAACAGTTTCAGGTTAAGAACGGACCTCCAGAATGAATTAAGTTCTTAACCCGGGGTACCACTGTACAATGAAATGAAAAGGATATTTAAAATAATGTTTGTAAAAAAAACCAGAAACTTTTCTTTTGGGAATTATAGGGATTGTTGTTGTTTAGTCGTGTCCGACTCTTTGTGACCCCCTGGACCAGAGTACGCCAGGCACTCCTGTCTTCCACTGTCTCCCGCAGTATGGTCAAACTCGTGTTGGTAGCTTTAATTATAGGGATAGAACTACCTAAAATGTATAGAAAGTTATTCATGTATGTGACTACAGCGGTAAGAATGTTACTTGCCGAAAAATGGAAAGAAGTCCCAGCAAAGGAAGAATGGATACAAAAACTTACGGAATATGCAGAAATGGCAAAACTTACCGGAAGAATAAGAAATCCAGATAAACTTTTTATTAAAGAATGGAAATGGTTTGTTGAATATGTACAGATAAATTGTAAACAGATAAAAACACTGGCAGGATAACTGTAATAACCTGCAGCTACCGTATATATATAAAGAAGATAAATAAATAAGTTAATTTGGATATGCAGAAGATATTAAAAGTAAATTTAAGGAACCACAGAAAGGGGGGGGAAGGAAGTCAAGTTTTAAAATGTCAAAATGAATGTAAAATCAGTGAAATGTATATATCTGAAAAGTACAAATAAAATTAAAGAACAACAACTCTTTATTAGCAAAACAGGATCCGCACAGGAGTGTCAGGCCTACAGAGCGCAGCAACTCAGGTGTTGCTCTCATGAAGCTGGTCCCTGCCTTCCCTCAGCTGGCTATGTCTCCTCTTCTCCAGGGGTTTCCCCAAGCAATCTGAGACTGCACCTGCGGACAGCCAACCCCTCCTCTGCCCTTTTCATGCCTCTTCTGGTTCTGGGAGAACAGGGAGGATGGGAGCTGGTTGCAGCAGGAGGGGGAGATAACACTGTGTTCTGGTTTTTGAACAATTTTCGGAAGCCAAACATCTGACGTGGCTTACACGACTTCTGATTGAGTGCAGGAAGCTCCTGCAGCCAATCGGAAGCTGCGCCTTTGTTTCCGAGCAGTTCCGGGAGTCAGATGGACTCCCGGAATGGATTAAATTTGAGAACCAAGCTACGGCTGTATTATAAAAGAGGCAGATGGAAAGGATTAACAATAAGACCCACAAAGGGGAGGAGTGAAGTCCAGGAGCTTTTATATATTACGCTGCTATGTGTATATAAAATGTAATTTAATATATCATATAAAGATAGATAGATATAGTTGCAGCAACTAAAACATAAAGCCAGACGATAAAAATACTAAAAAGTTAAAAGCACGACAGCACCCTCTTCCAACTCACCACTGTGTGGCAGACATTCACGGTTCGCAACACCCGATCCGGCGGCCTTGACCCGCTTCCGGTAGAGCAGCGGGCGGATGACCGCCTCTTCAGGCCTCACAGCTTTCTCCACCGCTTTGTCGAACGGCAGGCCCTGCCGCCGGTAGGCCCTGACCCTCTTCCGGAGGTTCCCATATGTGTCATTCCACCTCTTGCGGGTGGCAAGGCCTGACCTCTCGTAGTAGCCCAGCGCAGACACCCTCTTGCCTGCGGCCACAAAGAATGCCGCCTGCCGTGCGGCCGCCCTGCTCCCGGGGACGAGGCCCAGCGCCGCCTCCTTGTTCGCCACCACCAGCTTGTACAGCAGCGTCTTCTCCTCCATGTTCCAGTTGGGCTTCCGCCGCCGCTTCTTTGGGGTCCCTGGTTCAGGAAGGTCCCCTTCCATGACGTCCAGCAAGCAAAAGGCTGGCCTGAGGTGCATGGCGGAAAGGTTTCCGTTGACCGCCTCCGTGCTCTGCTGGCGCTGAGGTTTGTCCGTGCACACCTGGCCCACCCAGCGGTTCCTCCTCCGCCTCTTCCGCCGGAGCAGCTGCTCATCGACCTCCTGGTCCTCACTCTCGGAAGCCGGCTCTCTCGGCCCCTTTCCGGAATGTTCCACTAGTGCAGGACCTTCCCACAGTTGGCTCCTCCTCCCACACTCGTTTTCTGCTCCGTAACCTGTTGAGAGGAAGAAGGGAAGAGATTCCTGCCTGCGTGAACCTGGATGGCTATTAAACAGATGCAAAACGTCGCCGTGTGTGGAGAGCCCCTCTTGGGGATACTCCATTCCATGCCTTCTCAGCATGCTTAAAGCTTCCCACCCACCCGGGCTGTCCATATCCTTGTTAATGCAATGGTGGAGCCCTATAACACAGTGTGGCAGGGGCATTAGAAAACAGGACACAATATAATCAGGAAAAGGGGCACAATATTCCCCACATATATTTTTTCCCCAGTAGTAGATGGACAACCAGTGTCTATCTTCTTCTTCTTCTCCTATATTTTATACATTTATTTACATTTTTTACATTTTATTTTTACAAAGTAATAATCGCAAATAAATATTTCTTGCTTGGACTACTGCAATGCGCTCTACGTGGGGCTATCTTTGAAGGTGACCCGGAAACTGCAATTAATCCAGAATGTGGCAGCTAGACTGGTGACTGGGAGTGGCTGTTGGGACCACATAACACCAGTCCTGAGAGATCTGCATTGGCTCCCAGTACGTTTCTGAGCACAATTCAAAGTGTTGGTGCTGACCTTTAAAGTCCTAAACGGCCTAAGCCCAGTAAACCTGAAGGAGCGTCTCCACCCCCATCGCTCAGCCCGGACACAGAGATCCAGCGCTGAGGGGTGAGCTCCTGTTGTTTGGTCTCTGCTCCTGCCAACCTAGCAGTTCAAAAGCACGTCAAAGTGCAAGTAGATAAATAGGTACCGCTCCGGCAGGAAGGTAAACGCCGTTTCCGTGCGCTGCTCTGGTTCGCCACAAGCGGCTTAGTCCTGCTGGCCACATGACCCGGAAGCTGTACACCGGCTCCCTCGGCCAGTAAAGCGAGATGAGCGCCGCAACCCCAGAGTCGGCCACAACTGGACCTAATGGTCACGGGTCCCTTTACCTTTACCACTGTGTAAGAAATAACTGGCAATGCCTGGGATCAAACTGGGAACCTCCTGCTCACAAAAAAGGATATTCTGCTACTGATGGACTTGAAAATGTCTCCTGACCTCTCTCCTGGCTCTCTCTCAGCCTGCTTCTCCTGTGAGGCACAGATTCCTCCAGCGTCTCCCCTCTGTCAAGTTCCTGCTGGAAGTCAGGCCTCAGCCAAGTCTCGCCTCCATGATGACTGTAGCGAGGCTGAGAGATGTCGTCCTCTTCCCTCCACCTCGAGGCCTCGTATTGCCCCACAGCCGCCGACTGCTCTGGGGTCTCTCTGCCCTCCAAGCTTAGTCTCCTCTTCCTTCTACCTGCTCGAAAAAGGAGAAAGAGAGAGAATAAGATGAGAATAAGAGAGAGAGTAAGATGCACCATGTTCTCAAATTACAACTGATATTTAAATATCCGGGGTGGATATATGTTGGTGTTTTTTGTTTTTTGTTTTTAAAAAGTTCTTTTTATTTGATTAAAACCACAGTTCAGTGACATGTAGCAAATAAGGAAACAGGAAGAAAAGTAAATAAAAAATAAACGTACGAAGAAAAGCGAGGGAGAAATCAGGGTTGTTGCAGTCACGATCCCTGGGAATAATAACCCTAGAAGTGTGGATTTGGAAGGGACCCCAAGGGCCATCTAGTCTGACCCCCTGCAATGCAGGAATGATCCCACCAGCTGCAGAAGTGCTGGTGAAAAGGTGCAATGCTGCAGCACCATTTGCTGGGGTAAAGGTCCCTAGTCGGTGCAGGATTGCACCGATAACATCCAACTGAGATTGCACTCACAATCCCTGGGAAGATAAATGGTGTTTCCATGCGCTGCTCTGGTTCGCCAGAAGCGGCTTAGTCATGCTGGCCACATGAACCGGAAGCTGTCCCAAAGGTGGTAATTCAACGAGCCTTGCAAAACAGGAAAAAGCTGCAAGAACCCCCATTTCCCCTTCTCTGTCAGACCAGGAGAGGAGAGGAAGTCGTGCGGAGTTGACAAATAAAGAAAGGAACCACTGAGGGCTCTCCAGGAGATTTGCAGCATCCCAGAAATGAAGACCATTGCTTACCGTGTGAGGTCACATTGACAGCATCTTCCTCCTCCTCTTCCTCTCGCTTGACTTCGCGACACAGCTGCCCCGGCCTAGAGTCTGCAACTGGGGAGCTCACAGACGGGTCCACAAATGGTGGCTGAAATGACAGCAAAGAGGCCCTTCAGGCTTGAGCAGGAAGGGGATGAGATTAGAAGAGCCCTTGAGATCAGCTGGGCAAGCAGAATGCCACAGGTTCAATCCCCGGCTTCTCTTGTTTAAAATAAAAAAGGGTCACCGGGCACAGTGTTCTTCAGCCACGAGTCCCCAGATGTGGTTGGACTACAAATACCATCGTCCTTGACTGCTGGGCTGAACAGTGGATGATGGGCTTTGTAGTCCACTTACACCTGGGGACTTCAGGTTGAAGAACACTGAGCAGGGGAGGAGGGAAAACGCCAGAGATGCTAAACAGCTCAATACTGGCACATTGGGTAGGGAACCTTTTGCACTCATTTGTTTCTGCACCTGTGCCCAGGTGGCTGCTTTTGTGCGTACGCTCACATAATCTCCTTCCTTGGAGGTTTTTAAGCAGAGGTCGGATGGCCACCTGCCATGTTTGATCAAGGTTAGATTTCTGCCATGGATGCTTGTTGAGACTCCTACACCGCATGTGGTCAGACTAAATGACCCTTGTGGTCCCTTCCAGCCCTACAATTCTACGATTCCCCTCAGATGTTGCTATGTTCTGGGTGCAGAGAGCACATTTCCTCCTTTCGCCTCCTTTTTTGAGAGAAATTCAGAGAGGCTGGTCATCCTACTGTTTAGCATTCTAAGGGATAAAATGAACTGGTTCCTCAAGAGGAAGGAAATTCGGATTTGAGAAGAGATGATGATGATGATAATTTATTTATATCCTGCCCATCTGGCTGGGTTTCCTCAGCCATTCTGGGCGCCTCCCAACAAAATATTAAAAACACAATAAAACATCAAACATTAAAAATTTCCCCAAACAGGGCTGCCTTCAGATGTCTTCTAAAAGTCAGGTAGTTCTTTATTTCCTTGACATCTGGTGGGAGGGCGTTCCACAGGGTGGGCACCACCACCAAGAAGGCCCTCTGTCTGGTTCCCTGTATCCTCACTATTCGCAGGGAGGGAACTGCCAGAAGCCCCTCAGCGCTGGACCTCAACGTCCAGGCTGAACGATGGGGGTGGAGATGCTCCTTCAGGTATACAGGACCGAGGCCATTGAGGGCTTTAAAGGTCAGCACCAACACTTTGAATTGTGCTCAGAAACGTACTGGGAGCCAATGTAGGTCTTTAAAGACCTGGTATCGGTTATGTGGTATCGGTGGTCACTCCTGGTCACCAGTCTGGCTGCCGCATGACGGCAAGAGCAAAGGCTCTTTTTTTGTGCCCCCATTTGTGGGGAAGGAGCCTCCATCTTTCCCAAGTGCTGACATCGATGGCCCCCTCTGAGATTTGATGAGATTCACCCACCTTCCTTTGCTAGAAGGAGAAGATGAACATTAATCTACAACTCTATAATCCTATAAGGAAATCAGCCCTGAGTGCTCACTAGAAGGACAGATCCTGAGCTGAGGCCACCTCATGAGAAGAGAAGACTCCCTGGAAAAGACCCTGATGCTGGGAAAGATGGAGGGCACAAGGAGAAGGGGACAACAGAGGACGAGATGGTTGGACAGTGCTCTCGAAGCTACAAACATGTCTGACCAAACTGCGGGAGGCAGTGGAAGACAGGAGTGCCTGGCGTGCTCTGGACCATGGGGTCACGAAGAGTCGGACACGACTAAACGACAACAATAATCCTATGATTTCCTGGGCCAATAGTCTTGACCCAGTCTTTGTCAGTTTCTTCTGTTTACCTGCGTGGCATTGATCTCCTGGTGAACTTGCCGTGACCCCTGAGATGCTGTCGGACTCCAACTCCCATCATCCTCCACTGTCAGCCACACTGCCTGGGGCTAATGAGAGCCAGAGTCCAACAAGCATACAGAAGGACACCCCCTGCCACAGGGTGATCCACGCCCCCTCCCACGAAGCCACCTTCCCAGCTGCCCTCAAACGAAAATACCACTGGTCCTTTCCACCACGCCACATGCCTGTGACGTTAACATATGAGAGTGCTGGAGGTGAAATAGTTAAACAGGTTACCCAATCAGAACCCAGTGGGTGGAGTCAGAGGGACTATAAAACCAGCTCTGGGAGGGGCGAAGAGAGGAGTTTGTTGGGAGTTGGGTGGTTGGTTGGAGTGGGAGTGAATTGGGATAGAGTCTGTGGGTAGGTTGAGTTAGCGTAGCAAAATAAGCTGAGTCAGGAACAGTTAGGAGCTAGTAAAAAACTGAGAGGTGGTTTAGTGAATGAGAGCAGGTAGCGGAAGTTATAGGTCTGGATAGGTATCCCATGATTGTACAGTGGTACCTTGGGATGCGAACGGGATCCGTTCCGGAGCCCCGTTCGCATCCCGAAGCGAATGTAACCCGTGTCCATGCATCTGCATGTGCGCGGGTCACGTTTCAGCGCTTCTGTGCATGACGTCATTTTGACGGTTTGCGCATGCACGCGCGGCGAAACCCGGAAGTAACGAGCTCCGTTACTTCTGGGTCACCACTGAGTGCAACCCAAATTTGCCTAACCCGAAGCGTATTCATCCCGAGGTATGTCTGTAATTGACTGAGACAGTTTATGAAACCACACACTTGTTAGGTAAAGGGACTCCTGACCATTAGGTCCAGTCGTGACCGACTCTGGGGTTGTGGCGCTCATCTCGCTTTATTGGCCGAGGGAACCGGCATACTCTGGGTCATGTGGCCGGCGTGACTAAGCTGCTTCCGGCGAACCAGAGCAGCGCACGGAAACGCAGTTTACCGTCCCGCCAGAGCGGTACCTATTTATCTATTTGCACTTTGACGTGCTTTCGAACTGCTAGGTGGGCAGGAGCAGGGACTGAGCAATGGGAGCTCACCCCGTTGCGGGGATTCAAACCGCCGACCTTCTGATCGGCAAGTCCTAAGCTCTGTGGTTTAACCCACAGCGCCACCCGCGTCCCTTCCTTAAACTGCAATAAATAAACAGAAGTTTATGTTCCAACTTAACCCTGACTGGACTCAGTATTGTACCAGGTAGGGCCTCGGTGGCAGCAGTGAGAAATAAAGTGGTGGCACAGGGATCAGTAGAAGGTGAAACATCCAGGGACCCTGTGCGATCGCCACAATGCCCTGCTCTTACGAGGCACAAACCAACCTCCCTTGCTCGGCATGGCCCCCACTCCAACTGTTCCTTCCTCTGGAGGAAAAACTCAGCCAGGATCACGGCCTGGGCGCAGGTCTCAGGGCCCCGCTCCTTCACCCAGCCCTGGACTTCGGGCGGCAGGATGGCCAGGAACTGTTCCAGGACCAGCAGCTCCAGGATCTGCTCCTTGGTCGTCTTCTCGGCCTTCAGCCACTGCCGGCAGCACTCCTGGAGCCGGCTGTAAGCCTCTCGGGGGCCGCCAGCCTCCTGGTAGCAGAAGCGCCGGAAGCGCTGCCTCTGTTTCTCCGTCCTCAGGGCTGCGGCTCGCAAGATGGCAGCCTTCACCTTCTGGTAGTTCTTCCAGTCGCGAGACTCCAGCTTGACGAAAGTCTGCTGCGCATCGCCGCTGAGGGCTGGCAGGAGCCGGGCCACCCACTCCTCACGCGGCCAGCGGCAGGCTTCGGCCACTTGCTCGAAGGAGCCCAGGAAGGACTTAGCGTCATCCCAGACACTGGGCTCTTCCGGTGACTGGGGGGTCCCCCGTTCTGGGCTAGGAGGCTCCAGTTTCCTCAGGAACTCCTGCCACTGGGCCTCCCAGCACTGCAACAAGTCCTCCTTTGAGTTCAGCGCGACAGGCGGTTCTGTGGACCCCGGCAGGAATTCCCCGATACTCCCAGCCTGAACGACGTGGGGGGCCCCATCCTGCCCATCTCCCAATTGGTCTGTCACCTCTGATGGATCTGGGTCTTCTGTTTTTATCCCCAAGTGCTCTCTCGGCTCGGCAGCAGCCGGGACCCAGATGCCAACCTCCGCGCCCTTCAGCTCCAACCCTGCCATGTCCTTCCACGGTTCAGAGACACCTCCTCCCAACGCATTCACAGCAAAGAGAGACATTTTGGTCCTGCAGGTCTCTCTCGGAACCCCCGGGCTATCCCACAAGGCCTTTCTCCAGAGTGCAGATCTTCGGGGATTCAATGGGTGACGAGAGGGAAGAAAGGAGATCTGCCAGTGGTGGGGCAGGGTTGTTCCTGGAGGGGAGCAGAGAGGGAAGAGAGAGTTATCAACGTCAACGCCAACTCCAACTCCTTGGAAAAATTTTGCACATCACTTGGGAAGACAGTCGAACTAATGCCAGTGTACGGGAAGAAACAAAGATCACCCGTGTCGAAGAAATGATTCTTCAACATCAGCTTTGTTGGACAGGTCATGTTGTGCGGATGCCTGATTAACGTCTTCCAAACCAACTACAGTGGCTGCTCGGATACTCTGGTTTCACCTCAGATCGTATAAATCTTTTGCCTTTTACAGTGGCTGCTCGGGTTGCAAACGTGATCTGTGCGGGATGCACATTCGCAACCTGCAGTGTTCACAACCCGCAGTGGCGCATCTGTGCATGCGCGGGTTGCGATTTAGCGCTTCAGCGCATGCGCAACCACCAAAACCCGGAAGTAACCCGTTCCGGTACTTCCGGGTTTCGGCGGTCCGTAACCCAAAAAAACGCAACCTGAAGCATCTGTAACCCGATGCTTTGAAATAGTGCCTCGGGTTAAGAACTTAATTTGTTCTTGAGGTCCGTTCTTCACCTGAAACTGTTCTTAACCTGAAGCACCACTTTAGCTAATGGGTCCTCCCGCTGCCGCTGTGCCGCCGGAGCACGATTTCTGTTCTTATCCTGAAGCAAAGTTCTTAACCCGAGGTACTATTTCTGGGTTAGCGGAGTCTGTAACCTGAAGCATATGTAACCTGAGGTACCACTGTACAAGATCAGTCCAACATCCTGAGCAACTTTTAACTTTTTATTTATTTATCTGTTAGATTTAAATACCACCCTTCATCACAGACTGGCAGGACTGTTCACAGGATGAAAATACGAGATAAAAACACAAGTATATAGTTCAAAACAAAAACTCCCTCCCTTCTCACAAACACATTTCAAAGGCTATAGAACACGAATCAGCCAAAGGCCTCGTTGAAGAGGAACATTTTTGCCTGGCGCCAGGTGAACTTTCTGCTGAAACTCATAAGCAGGACCTGAGCACAAAAGCGCTATATCATTGTTATTTCATTTCTATACCGCTTTATATTCTTAAAGGGGGGGGAGAGAATCTCAAAATATCAGTCGGGATCGTTGGTAGAGCATGAGACTCTTCATATCCAGGTTGTGGGTTCGAGCCCCGCATCAGGCAACATGCACTGCAGAGGGTTGGGCTAGAGGACCTTCTGGGTCCCTTCCAACTCTGTGATTCTATGATCAGGTAAAGGAAAAGGTAAAGGGACTCCTGACCATTAGGTCCAGTCGTGGCTGACTCTGGGGTTGCGGCGCTCATCTCGCTTTACTGGCCGAGGGAGCTGGCGTACAGCTTCAAGGTCATGTGACTAGCATGACTAAGCCACTTCTGGCGAACCAGAGCAGTGCACAGGAACGCCGTTTACCTTCCCGCCGGAGTGGTACCTATTTATCTACTTGCACTTAGACGTGCTTTCGAACTGCTAGGTTGGCAGGAGCAGGGACCGAGCAACGGGAGCTCACCCCGTTGCGGGGATTCAAACCGCCGACCTTCTGATCGGCAAGTCCTAAGCTCTGTGATTTAACCCACAGCGCCACCGCAATCCAAAAACATGACAGAAGGAATCCAAATATAAGCTACGCATTCAAAGCAGCAGAAGTAACAGGAACGTAAAATATTATATTCTCCCCAGTTGGGATTGCCAGCATTCAGAGTCCCCATCCATCCTTTCTGCCTTGCTGCCCCTTATGGAAACATAAGAAGAGCCCTGAATCTGGATCAGGCCAGGGGCCCATCGAGTCCAGCATCCTGTTCTCACAGTGGCTGACCGGATGCAAGCAGGATCTGAGCACAAGAGGCCTCTCCCTTCCTGCGGTTTCCAGAAGCACTGACCATGGGTGCAAGACACAGCCATCCTGGCTGGTAGCCATTGACAGAGCTCTCCTCCATGAATTGTCCTAAGCCACTTTGTAAACCCTCCAAGGGGACACGGGTGGCGCTGTGAGTTAAACCACAGAGCCTAGGGCTTGCCGATCAGAAGGTCGGCGGTTCGAATCCCCGCGACGGGGTGAGCTCCTGTTGCTCGGTCCCTGCTCCTGCCAACCTAGCAGTTCGAAAGCATGTCAAGGTGCAAGTAGATAAATAGGTACCGCTCCGGCGGGAAGGCGAACGGCGTTTCCGTGCGCTGCTCTGGTTCGCCAGAAGCGGCTTAGTCATGCTGGCCACATGACCCAGAAGCTGTACGCCAGCTCCCTCGGCCAATAAAACGAGATGAGCGCCGCAACCCCAGAGTCGGCCACGACTGGACCTAATGGTCAGGGGTCCCTTTACCTTTAAGCCCTCCAAGTTGGCAGCAACTCAAACTCTCTCCCTCCCTCCCAGCCAGCCCCACAACCACTCAGCCCTCCTTCAGAATCATAGTCCAACCACCTGCAATCCAGGGGGTTGGGTGGCCATCTGTTCTGGATGTTTTCGCTGAGTTTCCTGCATTGCCGGGGGTTGGACTAGATGGCCCCCGGGGGTCCCTTTCCAACTCTGCAATACTATGATTCTATGAATGCAGGAATAGCTGTAACTGAGCTCAACTGCAAGCTACTGAAGCCACTGAAACGCACATTTTCTGAGATCTTGCAGGTCCAGGGCGCCTTATTAACCAGAGTAGCTGCCTAGAGCCAATTCCCGTCCAGCCTTAAAACTCAGCGGGGCGAAGGTGCAAATCCATTTTCCTCCTCCCCTTTCCCTCCGAGTCACCTTGTGCCTTTTCCTCCCCTTCCGTGGCCCAGGCGCCCCGCAGGCAACGGTTGCCCTCCGAGCCTTCCCCCTCCTGCAAGCCCAGCCAACTCTTCCTGCTCCTCCGGCGCCTGCCAAGAAGCAACATTTGGAAATCGCCTCTCCGGGCGGGGCCAGCAGAGGAAGCGGCTTGCATGCAGCTGACATCCGGTGCTCACTTTGAAAAAACAAAACAACTGGGTTCTTTCTAGCAAGCACTGACTCTTTGCCTTTAACTCCTTGAGCAAGAATAAGAATAATAAAACGCGCTGTTGCAAGCTGCGGGCGCAATTGCGCAAAGGGTGCCTTCTGATCTCTTGCACCCACGTCTGTCACCCAGCTCTGTGTTGTTGTTGTTGAGTCGTTTAGTCGCGTCCAACTCTTCGTGACCCCCTGGACCAGAGCACGCCAGGCACTCCTGTCTTCCACTGCCTCCCGCAGTTTGGTCAGACTCATGCTGGTAGCTTCGAGAACACTGTCCAACCATCTTGTCCTCTGTCGTCCCCTTCTCCTTGTGCCCTCCATCTTTCCCAACATCAGGGTCTTTTCCAGGGAGTCTTCTCTAATCATGAGGTGGCCAAAGTACTGGAGCCTCAACTTCACGATCTGTCCTTCCAGTGAGCACTCAGGGCTGCTTTCCTTCAGAATGGATAGGTTTGATCTTCTTGCAGTCCATGGGACTCTCAAGAGTCTCCTCCAGCACCAGAATTCAAAAGCATCAATTCTTTGGCGATCAGCCATCTTTATGGTCCAGCTCTCACTTCCATACATCACTACTGGGGAAACCATAGCTTTAACTATACGGACCTTTGTTGGCAAGGTGATGTCTCTGGCTGCAAGGACAGAAGCATCTTGCAAAGTCCCTTAATAGCTTGGGACCGGTTTACCTGCGGGATTGTCTTAGCCATATGAATTATGAGATGGTAGGGGGTTGGGAATCCTCTGTCCACTTTTTTCATGTCATGTGCAGGGCCTTGCAGTGCCAGGCAGAGGCCCGGGCCAGTTAGATAATGTGCCCCCCCTTTTTTTACCCTGGGGATAAATAAATATATAAATAATTTTCACTAAACTTATGCTGACAAATAATTTTATTTCAAGGCTTGAACCGTATCTGCATATAAAGACAAAATGGAAAATATAGATATACGATTGTGAATATGCTGACTGAGGCCCCCTTTGGAATTGGTGGCCCGGGCCAAGTGGCCCATATGCCCCCCTCCCCGTCTGGGCCTGGTCATGTGTTGCACTTATGTGTGTTTTTTGTTTTGGGAGAGAGAGATTAAACACAAACACTTTATTAATATTTATCATTTTTTATTAAATTTGTATACTGCCCTTCATCTGAAGATCACAGGGAGCTTCGCAACCTAAAAATACAAAAAAAGATCCCAGCAAAGGAGGAACAGGATACAAAAATTTATGGAATATGCAGAAATGGCGAAACTTACCGGAAGAATATGAAATCAAGATAACAAACTTTTTTAAGGAACTGCACAAAGAGGGGGAAGGAAGCAAAGGTTTGAAATATTAAAAGGATTGTAAAATTGGTGAAATGTGTAAACCTGAAATTCATAAATAAAATACATATATAAAAAATACAAAAACGAGAACACAAAATACATAATAAAACTAAAACAAACCAATAATCCTCCCTCCCACAAACACGTTTAAAAGGCCATATATTGTTTACTTAGCCAAAGGCCAGGGAGAAATGGAACATTTCCGCCTGGTGCCTAAAGATATATTATGAAGGCGCCAGGTAAGCCTCCCTGGGGAGAGCATTACTCAAACGGGGAGCCACTGCAAAAAAGGCCCCGTTCTCATGTTGCTACCCTCCATACTTCACACGAAGCAGGGCTTCAGGTGATGAGCACAGAGTCTGGATCATACTGGGAGAGGCGGTCCTTGAGGTATTGCGGTCCTCAGCTTTTTAAAGGCTTTGTAGGTCAAAACCAGCACTTTGATTTGGGACTGGAAATTACGTAATTGGCAGCCAGTGCAGTCGGACCAGGATCAGTGTAATATGCATACACACATGCACACCTTTTACCACCCATTCACCCAGTTTGATGAGGTCCTTTCGGAGCTCTTTACAACCTCTTTTTGTTTTGGAAGCATAGAATCATGTAGAATCGTGGAGTGGGAAGGGATCCCTGGTGTCATCAAGTCCAACGCAGGGATCTTTTTGGCCAACATGGGGCTCAAACCCACGACGCTGAGATTAAAAGCCTCATGCTCTGCCGACTGAGCTGACCCCAAACGACTTATTGCCATCAGCAAACTTGGGCCACCTGACTGCACATTCCTAACTCTACACTGTTTTTTTATTTGCAAGTGGAGAATCGCAGGTCTCAATACTGACCCTGGCTAGGTGGACTCGACTTTCCATACCCCTTCATTGGGGGAGAACAAATAATGTATCATAGAATTGGAAAGGGACCCCTGCAATGCAGGAATCGTTTGCCTAACATGAGACTCGAACCCACAACCCTTAGACGAAGTTTCATGCTTTACCAACTGAGTTATCCCATCAATTGTCCATTTATTCCTAGTCTCTTGTGTGTGTTATTTTTTTTTCCAATTAAAAACCATGCAGCAATTCTTTTGGGAATTACAGTGGTACCTCAGGTTACATACGCTTCAGGTTACATACGCTTCAGGTTAAAGACTCCACTAACCCAGAAATAGTGCTTCAGGTTAAGAACTTTGCTTCAGGATGAGAACAGAAATCGGGTTCCAGCGGTGTGGCGGCAGCAGCAGGCCCCATTATCTAAAGTGATGCTTCAGGTCAAGAACAGTTTCAGGTTAAGTAGGGACCTCCAGAACGAATTAAGTACTTAACCTGAGGTACCACTGTATAGGGATAGAGCTACCTAAACTGTATAGAAACTTATTCATGTATGCAAAGAATGTTCCTTGCCCCCAAATGGAAAGTAGCAGAGTCCCAGCAAAGGAAGAATGGATCCAAAACTTACGGAATATGCAGAAATGGCAAAACTTACTGGAAGAATAAGAAATCAAGATAACAAACATTTTTATAAAAGAATGGAAATGGTTTATTGAATATTTACAGATAAATTGTAAACAGGTAAGAACATTGGCATGATTATTGTAATGGCCTGCAGTTTTGTAAGAGTATATATTTAAAGTGGATGAATAAATGAGCAAATTAAGTTGATTTGGATATGCAGAAGATATTAAGAATAAATTTAAGCAACCGTGGAAAGAGGGGGGGAGGAAGTCAAGTTTCGAAATGTTAAGATGATTGTGAAATTGGTGAAATGTATAAACTTGAAAAGTATGAATATTATTATTTTTATGAGTCTCATGCTTTACCAACCGAGCTATCCCATCAATTGTCTATTTATTCCTAGTCTCCTGTGTGCGTGCGTAAAAAATAAAAATCCAATTAAAAACCATGCAGCTCGCTAGTCCGGCGCGTTACAACTTGCTGCAACAAGCAGGAAAAAACGATCCAGCGGATCTTTTCAAAGCTCTCCGCGATTTCCAAGCTTTGCAGACGAGGGAAGGCAGCTCTGCAGCGCGCAGGGGGCCATAGGATTGCAGGAGGCAGCGATCTTGCTCCCCGGTCCTCAGAGGGTTAACTGGAGGCCGGTTCCTAGAGAGGAGCGAAATCTGGGGAGCTGGAGGGGGGAGGGCAAAAGCCTGCCTAGCCAAGGCCCCTCCCCATCCTGCCTTGCAGATCAGGGAAGCTGGAGAGGAGATCCCGTGGAGAGCAGAGGGTGCTTTGCGGCGAGGCTGCGCCCTGATCCTGAATAAGGAGCCGGGTGTTTATTTAAATCGAGGTAGCAGGGAAATCTCTCCTCTTGCATTTGGTGAAGGGCGGCCTGGGGGTGTCATTGCTATTTATTATTATGATTATTCTGTTATGCATGTTTGTGTTTTCATGTTGCAGAATTGCCCCGTGTTCTTTGGATGAAGGGCGGTGTGTAAATCTGAATAATAATAATAATAACAATGATGATGATCAGTGTTTTTTCCTAAAAAATAATGTTTGGGGTACTCTCATTTTGACTCAAGAAAACCACCATTTTATAGCTCAAATAAATACAGTAAATGGACAAAAGTACATAAATTCACAAAATGTTTAGGCATAGCTATCAACGTTTCCCTATTTTTAAGGGAAATTCCCTTTTTCCGAATAGGATTCCTTGCAAGAAAAGGGAAAAGTTGACAGCTATGTGTTTAGGGGTATGCGTACCCCTGCGGCCACCCCCCCCCCAGGAAAAAGCAATAATAATAATAATAATAATAATAATAATAATAATAATAATATATTTGTTCCCCAGCCACTCTGGGCAGCTTCCAACAAAGATTAAAAATATATTAAAATGTCACACATTAAAAACTTCCCTGAATAATAATAATAATAATAATAAATACCACCACCAGATTTGCAGTAGGGACTGGGAGCCTGGGAAATGCAAGCAGGGAAACGGAAGGGGTGGGTGGGAAGAAAGCCCCCAAGTGGGGAGAAGCCCAGTAGGGCTGGACAAAATGGATATTGACAAGCCGGAAGGTGGGGGAAGAGGAGGGTGGCCGGGATGATCAAGGGTCTGGAAAGCAAGCCTTTGGAGGGAGATGGGTAGCCTGGAAAAGAAGAGACTGGGAGGAGATAGGAGAGCCATCATCAAATATCTCAAGGGCTGTCACATGGAAGATGGAGCAAGCTTGTTTTCTCCTGTTCCAGAGGGTAGGACTCAAACCCATGGCTTCAAGTTACAAGCAAGGAGATTCTGACTAAACATACGGAAAAAACTTTCTGACAGTCAGAGCTGTTTGACAGTTAGAGCTGGTCTCCCTCGGGAGGTAATGGACTCTCCTTCCTTGGAGAGTTGGATGGCCATCTGTCAGCGATGCTTTAGCTGAGATTTATACCTACGGTACCGCCTCTCTTGGTATGCCCCACGGAGGACCTTACGGTCTTCAAATAAAAACATATTGGAGATCCTGGGCCACAGGGAGGTTAGGCTGGCCTCAACCAGAGCCAGGGCTCTCCGTTCCGGAGGCCCGTTCGCAACATGAAAAGAGTGCAACCCGCAGCGGCCGTCTGTGCATGCGCACATTGCGATTTGCTGCTTCTGTGCATGCGCGTGACGTCATTTTGCGCTTCTGCACATGCACGAGCGGTGAAACCCGGAAGTAACCCTTTCCGGTATGAGGTAACCTGAAAAAACATAACATGAAGTAGACGTAACATGAGGTATGACTGTATATAGTTTTGTAACGTATATGGTTTACAGTGGTACCTCAGGTTAAGAACTTCATTCGTTCTGGAGGTCCATTCTTAACCTGAAACTGTTCTTAACCTGAGGTACCACTTTAGCTAATGAGGCCTCCCGCTGCCGCCGCCGCCGCGCCATTTCTGTTCTCATCCTGAAGCAAAGTTCTTAACCCAAGGTACTATTTCTGGGTTAGCGGAGTCTGTAACCTGAAGTGTCTGTAACCTGAGGTACCACTGTATTTTGTTATTGCTGTTCTCCTTGGCCTTTTAATTTTTTTTTAAGGTATCCTTTTTAATTTCCCCTTTACTTTTAATTTTTCTTATATATCTCCCTGCAATCGATAAAATGAAATATTTTCAAAATGTTCTTATTCCTAGGTATCTTTCTCGGCTGTGAAGGTCTCCGGGTCCTCGCTTCTTTGGCCAGATTTTTCCTTAAGAAGGCATCTGACTGAGGAGGGAAAGGGACACGTTTTTCAGCCATGTCGGAGGATCCCTCAGATCATGTGCTGAAGGTGGAAGAGGCAGAATTGGCTGGCCCAGAATTGGCAGGGAGAGGATCCCATGCCGCAGGCAGCAAAGGATGCTGGGAAAACACCTGGCAAAAGGCCCTGGGCGAGGAGGACCCACTCAGCTCGGATGCTCAGTGCCGACGTTTCAGGCACTTTCGCTACCAGGAGGCCGAGGAACCCAGAAAAGTTTGCAGCCGACTCCACCATCTCTGTTGTCAGTGGCTGAAGCCGGAGCGATACACGAAAGCTCAGATGCTGGACCTGGTGATCTTGGAGCAGTTCCTGGCTGTCCTCCCCCCGGAGATGGAGAACTGGGTCAGGGAATGTGGAGCAGAGACCAGTTCCCAGGCGGTGGCCCTGGCAGAAGGTTTCCTCCTGAGCCGGGCAGAGGAGAAGAAGCAGGAAGAGCAGCAGGTGAGAGAGTTTCATTTTCATATTTTTGTGCTGATGGCTGTATTTTCATAAAATAAACAAAAACATTTTTATTGTTTTGGATATTAGAGGCTGCGGCAAAAATAAATTACTTGTTAAACTTTAACTGCTATATTACAGCCGATGTGCTGGTCATCCATTATCCCTTTTCTTCTATTGTTTAGGTATTTAGAATATAAATGTTTAAAAATCCTATATATCTCTATCTATCTATTATCTATCATCTATCTATCTATCATCTATCTATCTATCTATCTATCTATCTATCTATCATCTATCTATATCTATCTATCTATCTATCTATCTATCTATCTATCTATCTATCTATCTATCATCTATCTATCATCTATCATCTATCTATCATCTATGTTTACCCAGGTATTCAGTGTCTGAAGAAGTTTTATCGAGTGACATGTTACATTAGGGCATCTCCTAACACGTATTCCATGTATATCCGTTTTCTCATCCATTTCTCTCTTTACTCCCAGAATCTGGTGAGAGACAGTTTCATCCTGATAACACAGAGATTTCCAATAATATTGCGAAACCCTGCCAGTTGGCCCACTTTCCCTACAAATCCTCTTCAGAGGTGACATCCCACTCCGGATCTAAGGCGTTTCTTTTTGCTAATCCTTCTCTCTCTCTCTCTCTCTCTCTCTCTCTCTCTCACTCTGTCTTTAATCCCTGTTTTCCTTACAGGGCCTGTTTGAAGGAGTGGCCGCTGACGTTCCTGAGGCAAAGGAGGCTCCACTGATGCTGGAAAGATCATCTCTTTGTGCTGAAGCTACTACTCAGCATACAGATCAAGTAAGATCATAGAGTTGGAAGGGGACCTGAGGGTCATCTAGTCCAACCTCCTTGCAATGCAGGAATTGTCGACATGCAGAGGGCCGGGAGACCAGCTGGCTAGCCCCGGCTGGGCCGTCTCCTTCCAGCGGCCCGGTGCAAAGACCATCACCTCTGCTCTGACGTAAATCAGCGACCCAGGCTTCTGAGCCAGGGCACACTATCAGCAGATTGAACAGAGCACACAAAATAGGTGTGAGGCTTGTGGAAGCATACTATAACTACAGATTTATTAATCATAAATCAGGACAAAGAAACATGTCGTCTCTCTCGTCGTCTCAGAGAGAGCAGCAAAAGCAAAAGCTACACACACAACGGAAGTTCCCAGCATACTGTGCTAGAATGTAAACAGACATGTGACATGTAACAATCCCATGTCTGTTCCTTAAGGTGGAATGGAAATGTCAACAGCAATATGCCTTCTCTGTAGTGGCTCACTGTCTGTGAAATGCTCTCCCCAGGGAAGTTCGCCTGGCACCTTCCTTATACACCTTTAGGAACCAGGCAAAAATGTCCCTTTTTAACCAGGCCTTTGGTTGACCTGATGGACATCCTATAGCCTTTTAAAATGTGGCTCTTTTTTCGGGGGTGTGTGTGTTATTGGGTTGTTTTTAATTTTGATTTTATATATTGTGATCTTTTCTGTGAACTGGCCTGAGACCTCCGGGTTTAGGGCAGTATATAAATTCAATTAATAATAATAATAATAATAATAATAATAATAATACAGCCTTCCCATATGGGGATTGAACCTGCAACCCTGGCATTATCAGCGCCATGCTCTAGCCAACTAAGCTACCCTGGTTCTTCACAACTCTGTCTCTGGAAACAGTATTAATTAATTAAGTAATTCATATATTTAATTTTAAAATGTGAGGGGTGAGTGGGTTATTGGTTTATGGTGTTCCTGTTTTGTTCCTGTTTTTATTATGTGTTTTTACCTTGTATTTTTATCTTGTGAACCACTGGGTGAAGGGTGGTATAAAAATTAAATAACTAAAAGGAAATAATAAATTTGTCACCTGCCCTTCACCCTAAGGTCCCAGGGAGGGTGACAGCATCAAGAACAGGGCCAAAAGCAATTTAAAACAGCTTGCAACCATAAAAATGAAGTGGGTCCCCTAAAAACACACACTTCAAGTGCCAAAAGCCAGGGTAAAGAGGTGCATCTTCAGCATTTTCTGGGAGCTCTACAATAAAGGTGCCAGATGCATCTCTGTGGGGGAGGGAGTGGCACAGGTTAGGGGCTACCACAGAGAAGGCCCAGTGCCAGAAGGTCAGATATATAAGCTAATCACCAAATGGCACCTTAAACCTAAGTTACAGTTGCCACAACTGAATGTCTAGGCTCCTTTATTAGTAGTAGTAGTATAGTAGTATTAATTTCATTTCTATACCTCTTTATATTTTGAAAGGAAAAAAAAATCTCAAAGCGGTTTACAGCACGTTAATGTTAGGATTCCTGCTCCGTGTTTGCAGTCATGAGATTGTTGTCTATCACATGACAGTGTATGTTTTCATTCCACTGACGGAGACAGGATGTTTTGTGTTTTGTGTTACTGTGTTCTGGAAAATGGGACTATTGTCCTTTGTTTCTTTCTCTTTGCCGTCTGATGAGAAAGAGGAAGGAGCTAAGTCAGAATGCTCCGAGTGTATTATATGCTGCATGCTCTAGTTCTTTCTCGCTTGGACTACTGCAATTCGCTCTACGTGGGGCTACCTTTGAAGGTGACCCAGAAATTGTAATTAATCCAGAATGCGGCAGCGAGACTGGTGACTGGGAGTGGCCACCGAGACCATATAACACCGGTCCTGAAAGACCTACATTGGCTCCCAGTACATTTCTGAGCACAATTCAAGGTGTTGGTGCTGAGCTTTAAAGCCCTAAACGGCCTCAGCCCAGTATACCTGAAGGAGCGTCTCCACCCCCATCGTTCAGGTCTCTTCCAAGGGCCTTCTGGCGGTTCCCTCCCTGCGAGAAGTGAGGTTACAGGGAACCAGGCAGAGGGCCTTCTCGGTGGTGGCACCTGCCCTGCGATACACCCTCCCATCAGATATCAAGGAACTATCCGACTTTTAGCAGACATCTGAAGGCAGCCCTGTTTAGGAAACTTTTTAATGTTTGATGTTTTATTGTGTTTTTAATATTCTCTTGGGAGCCGCCCAGAGTGGCTGGGGTATAAATAAATTATTATTATTATTATTATTATTGTTATTATTATTATCTGTTGCATTAACTGTGAGCGGGAAATGGTCTCTTTCCTTTCAGGGTCTGGTGACGCTCGAGGAGGTGGCTGTGTGTTTCACTGAGGAGGAGTGGGAGCTGCTGGATCCGAGCCAAAGAACCCTGCACAGGGAAGTCATGGAGGAGAATGGTGGCATCGTGGCCTTTTTGGGTAAGGCCCCTTGCCCCCTGCACTTGCCCTTGGTTTGGGGTTGATAAGACCCTAGTGAAGCTTTTCCTTTTAATAGATTACAAGGCAGGGAGAGTTGGCTGTTCCTTTTCTTCCTAACAATCAAGATGCGTTTTCCCCCTGCTGGTCTCATCTGAGAATAATATATTTTCTGCCTATTTTCTGCAAGTGCTATGATACGATAACTAGTGGAAATCCATGAAGTCAATTAAAAAAAATTTTTGAGCTATTTTTAAAAGAAATTCGCCAAAGTCTACACCTTTGACACGGGTTGCGGGACATTAAGGCACTTTCTGAAGGGGAGCTGTTTCCGATGGCCGAATCCTGGACGTATGGCAACCCTATTTGCCTCAAGGCATGTTTTCTGGCAACTTATCTAATGTATTCCTTTATGTGAATACATACCAGTCAGAGGGCCTTCTTGGTAGTGGCGCCCACCCTATGGAATGCCGTCCCATCAGATGTCAAGGAAATAAACAACTATCTGACTTTTAGAAGACATCTGAAGGCAGCACTGCTTAGGGAAGTTTTTAATGTTTGATGTTTTATTTTGTTTTTAATATTTTGTTGGGAGGTGCCCAGAATGGCTGGGGAAACCCAGCCAGATGGGCAGGATATAAATAAATTATCATCATCATCATCATCTCTTCTCAAATCCAAATTTCCTTCCTCTTGAGGAATTCAGTTTGTTTTATCCCTTAGAATGCTAAGCAGTAGGATGACCACCCTCTCTGCATTTCTCTCAAAAAAGGAGGCAAAAGGAGGAAATGTGCTCTCTGCACCCGGAACATTGCTTCTTCTTCTTCTTCTTCTTCTTATTATTATTATTATTTTATTGAAAGAGTGGGGTGCTATATTGGGAAATGCTTCAGGTTGGGGGGAGGCAACCATCTTAATCCTGCTTTGTATAGCAAATTTTTCTCCTTTCCCCTACTTCCCACAACAGCAATCAATTCTTAGTTAGCGTACTTCTTCAATTTCAGGCTTTACATGTTGTCTCTCTTCTTCTCAGGAGACGAAAGAGCCAGGTGTAAAGAGAAGGAACAGCAGGGGAGAAAACCAGAAGGAAAACCAGAGACGAGGAGGGAGAAATCTTCTTCCTCCCAAAGGGGCGACGTCGCTGAAATCCCAGTGGGAGAGGAAATGGAGGACGGGAAAGAAAGCGGCCAGTGCTCTTTGTGCGAGGACAGTTTCATCTGCCCGGCAAGCGACGCGGGGGAAAAGCTCTTCGAATGCATCAACTGCAGCAAGAGCTTTTCCAAAAGTTCCTACCTTCGGAAACACCTCCGTATCCACACAGGGCAGAAGCCGTACAAATGCGCCGAGTGCGGAAAGAGCTTCAGTCAGAGGACAGACCTCAAGAGACACCAGTGGATCCACAAGGTGGAGAAGCCGTATAAATGTCTCGAGTGCGAAAAAAGCTTCACCCAGAAGAGGAGCCTCAGTACACATCAGATGAATCACAGAGGGGAGAAACCGTTTAAATGCCCCGAGTGTGGGAAGAACTTTGCTCAGAAAAATTACCTCACGATACACCAGCTGACTCACAGGGAGGAGAAGCCGTATAGGTGCTTGGAGTGCGGAAAGAGCTTTGGCCAGCTCAAAGATCTCAACAGACACAGGCGGGTTCATTTTGGGGAGAAGCCGTATAAATGCCTGGCGTGCGGCCAGGGCTTTTGGTACGAAGGCCACCTTAAAAATCACCTCCGAATTCACACCGGGGAGAAACCGTATACGTGTCTGGAGTGTGGGAAGAGCTTTATTCGGAAAACGGACCTCAACAGGCATCAGAGGAGTCACACCGGGGCGAAGCCGTATCCGTGTTTGGAGTGCGGGAAAAACTTCACAGAGAAGAAGAACCTCAGTTTACATCAGATGAAGCACAGAGGACAGAAACCATTTAAATGCCCGGAGTGCGGGAAAAGCTTTACTCAGAAAAATTACCTCACCGTCCATCAACTGACTCACAGAGGGGAGACGCCATATAAATGCTCGGAGTGTGGCAAGAGCTTCACCAGGAACACTAGCCTTAGCTGTCATCAGAGAATCCACACCGGGGAGAAGCCGTACGAATGCCTGGAGTGCGGAAAGAGATTTGCTTGGAGGAAAAGCCTAAGTTGTCATCAAACCATCCACACGGGAGAAACCGTGGAAATGTCTGGAGACCTTTACTCGGAACAGAAGCCCGGCCACGTCTCAGATCAATTGCAGATGGCGAAACCCTATCAATACCCCGATTGTTCCATGAGCTGCGAAGACGCTGGAGAAGAAAAAATGTCCGTCTCAATTTTTCTGTGCCAATGATCTTGAATCTCTTCTATGGTTTTGGTCCAGTTACATAACAAACGTCGCAAGAAGGAGTCACCCCCACCATACCCACCTTGAGTCCTTTTTGCCAGGCACCTGGAGGAAACATCTCTTGCTCCTCCGACCTGCTCTTTGCCTTGGTGCCAAAGTGTCATGCCATTCAGGGCGACCCAAAAGCCCATCCAGTTTGGCAAATTTCCTTCCCACTGTGCCCAGAGTTGCAGGGCTAAAAGTAGGACCCTTCCCCTGTGAAATTTGTCTTCCCTTTCGACATCCCTCTGCCGTCTCACACTGCAAGGTTATTCCATGCATGTTTCGGAACTTCTCACTAAGTCTGTCTGGTGCAAACGTTCCCAAACTTATTTGGCCTATTGCCCCCTTTCCAGAAAAAATATATTACTCCGTGCCCCCTGGAAACCTACCTTCTTTAAGCAAACAAACAGAAAGATGCAGTGGCAAATTTCTGCTCTTTGAGGTATCTGTATTTCTATCTACATGGGACGCGGGTGGCGCTGTGGGTTAAACCACAGAGCCTAGGACTTGCCGATCAGAAGGTCGGTGGTTCGAATCCCCGTGACGGGGTGAGCTCCCGTTGCTCGGTCCCTGCTCCTGCCAACCTAGCAGTTCGAAAGCACGTCAAAGTGCAAGTAGATAAATAGGTACCTCTCTGGTGGGAAGGTACACAGCGTTTCTGTGCGCTGCTCTGGTTCGCCAGAAGCGGCTTAGTCATGCTGGCCACATGACGCGGAAAACTGTCTGTGGACAAACGTCGGCTCCCTCGGCCAGTAAAGTGAGATGAGTGCCGCAATCCCAGAGTCGTCCGCGACTGGACCTAATGGTCTCCTTTACCTTTATTTCTATCTACGTATTGCTGGCAGTAAGCATTGTTACACAACAGATGAAATGTACAGTTCTTCAAAACGTTCTTCTTTTTTTACGCTTCCACTGCCCCCTTATTTTTATTAAATGCCCCCCGGTTACACACGAGGTCCTGGATTGTTCCAGCACCCCCTGGGGGGGGCGGTATAACCCACTTTGGGAAACAGTGATCTAGTGCAAAGTGATTTATTTCTTTTCATCCTATCTTTTTGTCACCCCCCCTTTCCCCTTAATAAACCTTTGAAAATTTGCACCTTTGGGGCTGTGTGTATGCTTTGATGTTTGAAGCTTCATTTTGTCCCCTGGGATAGCTCATGTCAGGAGAGCATGAAGCTCTTAGTCTCTGGGTTGTGGGTTCGAGAGCCCCATGTTGGGCGAAAGATTCCTGCTTTGTAGGGAGCTGTGACTAGGTGACCCTATGCACAACCAATAATGGGTTTAATTTTGGGAGGAAATTGTGCACACTTGAAAATGTTGGCAGCATTAGGATAAATTCAACAGTGTAAGTAGGTTTTGGTGGATGCAGTATTGGAATACTTAGTTTATATAAAATATGCCGGGATCTATGCTATGTAAAATGAAACATGGAAAGAGAAGGGAAGTCATTGATATTTTAAGGTTGTTTGAATGAATACTCTAAATTGTAAAGCAGAAAATGTAGTGTGTGTGTATATATTGAAATTTTAAATTTTGAAATACTTTATTGTACAACTTGTATACAGTGAGATTACATGAGCACCCCCCATTCAGCTCTCTTAGTCTTAATTCCCCTCATTTACTGACACACACACACACACACACACACACACACACACACACCAAACCCGAAAGTCCATTGCCCTGTTGTTATCTTTTCATTCAGCAGCCTAACAGCCCACGGATAGAAGCTGAGGGCAGGAGATCAAGAAAGTGCCGGCCAGGGTGTGTATTTTATCCAGCGGATTCACAGGACAGCCCATAATATCTTGTGCTGTATTCACCACCCTCTGTAGGAACTTCCTATCAGTTGATGTCAAACCAGCATACCACACCGTCATGCAGTGTGAAAGGACACTTTCTATTGTTGACCAGTAGAAGGAGATTATCATTTTTTTTTTTTAAATGATATTTATTAAAAGTTTAAAAATTACAGAAAAAGGAGAAAAGACAACAATAAAGAAGGAAAAAAAAGAACATAGAAAAGCAATACAATACAGCAAAAAGAAACGAGAGAAAAAAACTAAAACACACATCCAATATTCCATATCTTTACCTTTCCTTTACTTGTTTCATCGACCTCCTCACACCTCCCTTTTTTTGTATTCTAGTTCAATTTACTATTTCAGCAAATTCTTCCCATCTTTCTCAATTTTTGTTCTATAATTTATCTTAACGGTCTAACCTTAAATTTTTTCATTTTAACCTGTTATTAATCAGCTTTTACTTAATTCTTTGTTACATTTCTACTAAAACCATATAGCTTCATTCCAGCATCCTTCTAACACTCATTAATTTTACAGTGTTTCTGTAAGTATACTTTTTTTCCAATCTTCTTCCACCGACTCTTCTCCCTGGTCTCGGATTCTACCAGTCATTTCCGCCAGTTCCATGTAGTCCATCAGCTTCATCTGCCATTCTTCCCTGGTGGGTAGATCTTGTGTCTTCCAATGCTTTGCAATAAGTATTCTTGCTGCTGTTATAGCGTACATAAAGAAAGTTCTATCCTTCTTTGGCATCAATTGGCCGACCATGCCCAGGAGAAAGGCCTCTGGTTTCTTCAGGAAGGTATATTTAAATACCTTTTTCATTTCATTATAGATCATCTCCCAGAATGCCTTAATCTTTGGGCATGTCCACCAAAGGTGAAAGAATGTACCTTCAGTTTCATTACATTTCCAACATTTATTATCGGGCAGATGGTAGAGTTTTGCAAGCTTGACTGGTGTTATGTACCACCTATAAATCATTTTCATTAAATTCTCTTTTAAGGCATTACATGCCGTAAACTTCATACCAGTGGTCCATAACTGTTCCCAGTCCGCCATCATAATATTATGTCCAACATCTTGTGCCCATTTAATCATAGCAGATTTCACCATTTCATCTTGAGTATTCCATTTCAACAGCAAGTTATACATTCTTGACAAATTCTTAACTTTAGGATCTAACAATTCTGTTTCCAACTTTGATTTTTCCACCTGGAAGCCTAGCTTTTTATCCAAGTTATATGCCTCCATTATTTGATAGTAATGGAGCCAATCTCGTACTCTGTTTTTTAATGAGATCATCAAATGTTGATTGACATCGTTCTTTTGCAATATTCTGAGGAGATGGAGTCTCTGTTGGGCTTTCTTAACCACCTGGCTTGTATTGATTTCCCAAGTAAGGTGTTCACTGAGATAAACTCCTAGGAATTTAAAGGAAGAGACTTCACACAGCCCTCCCCGATGTACAGCGGGGCTAGTTGTCCTCTCTTCCTCCGAAAGTCCATCTCCTTTGTCTTGCTGATATTAAGGTGCAAGTTGTTCCCTAGGCACCATGTAGATATTTTTTGGACCTCCCCTCTATAAGCTGATTCATCTCCACCTGTTATTAAACCCATTATGGTGGTGTCATCTGCAAACTTAATAATAATAATAGAGTGTGTGTGTGTGTGTGTGTGTGTGTGTGTGTGTGTGTGTGTGTGTGTGTGTGTGTGTGTGTGTGTGTGTGTGTGTGCGTGCGCACACACTAATCTAATAATGGGTTAAAGTCAGCAAATTTAATATACAAACAAGACAGGTGGGCTTCTGTTGAGATCGCATGACACACAAAAATAATTTTCTTAAGGCTTTATTTCTGTATTGCCAGGGGTTCGACTAGATGACCCTTGGGACCCTTTCCCAACTTTACAATCCTATGATTCTGTTTTTTCTCCCTTTAAATGCTGTCGAGGGTCGCCCCCCAAAATGCCTCGTGGGCCAGACCTCCCTGCCATAGACGCAACTGGTCCGATCGGGCCAACCTTGCCGGGTTGTTGCTTTGCTCCGGAGCCAGCGAGCCGGCCGGGACTGCCCTCCTCTTCAGAGGAGGCCACGGCCGGCCAGCCCTGCCGGCAGCGGACCTTACAAAGCGCAATTGTTTGCAAGGATCGAGTCGCTGCTCGCGGATTTCGCGTTCCTCCTGCTGCTGCTCCAGCCATGCAAGGGTGAAAACGATGCCGATGCGAGAGAGAGCGGATTCCTAGAGAGGAAGGACATTTTTTTGGGGGGGTGGATGCCTGGGGGTGGAGGGGAGGAGGAGTCCTCCGGAGCGAAGGCGGCTCCCCCATCCTGCTTTGCTAAAAAAGAGAAAAAAGCCAGCCTTGGATTGCAGCCGGAGGTTGAATTGCACGGATGCATTTATTCGCTGCAAAGCTGACAGCTGGTTCCTGCTCCTGCCCCACTGCAGCTTGAACCGGGAGGTCGCATTCCCCCCCCCCCAGCCCTCCCCGCACATCCCTGCAGGGCTTTTTTGCAGAGGGAAACTGTCCTTTGTCCTTCCCAATCACGTGAGTCTCTCCCCCACCCCCCTTTCAGCCTTTGGGTGCAATGTGTGGGGCTGGGGAATGAAGGGGCTGGAAGCCCTCCTTTTACCCCCCCAAGTGGGGATCAGACAGCGCCTTGGGGGTGGGGGAAGGCCTGGGGAGCACAGAGGAGCGAGGCAAGCCCCCCACCCCAATAGCACCCTTTTCTGGTTTGGATCATCAGTTTCCTTAGGCAAGAGGGAGTTGGGTATGTATGTTCATGTATGAGAAGCGAGTGGTCTCTCCTTCCTTGGCAGCGCTTGGGTGTGCCACCTGTCAGGGATCATTGAGCTGTGATGTCGGCGTTGCAGGGTGGGGGGCTGGGCTAGATGGCCTTTGGGGGACCCTCCTGACATGACAGTTCGGTGATTCTGTGAAATCCGCAGTGCGCAAGGGTTTATCCGTATGCTGGGCCAATGCTTCCGAAGGAAAGCACAGAAGGAGAGGGGTCTTGTGCTCGGGTCCTACCACTTTGGCGCGATTCTGCAGCAGGGCTCCTCTCAGATTCTTAAGTTCACGTGCAGCTGATCCAGGATATTCTTTTTATGTTGAGGAGCTTTGCTGTCTGGCATTCTGAGGGTTTGGCCTTCTCGGTGGTGGCACCCAGCCTGTGGAACTCCCTCCCATCAGATCTCAAGGAGATGAGTAGCCATACAACCTTTAGAAGACATCTGAAGGCAGCCCTGTCTAGGGACGATTTTTAAATATGTAATGTTTTATTATGTTTTTATGTATTTTGGAAGCTGCCCAGAGTGGCTGGGGTACAAAAAATATTATGATGATGATGATGATGATGATGATGAGTTAAGATGCCACCAGGACCCCTTGGCGTTGCACACTGGACAAACTCCTTTCCCCTCTTTCCTCCTGTCGGCATCTTCTCTTTCGTTAGCAAGATGGCAGGCTAATATCTCCCGACAACCAAGAAATAACAGCTATAATAGTCCGTGATTGATCATGCCTGCTTTGGAGCAGCTTAATTTCCTAAACATCCCCAGCTAAAGATGATGCAATGTGAGCCTCTTTTCTGGCCACATCATACGTTAAAGCACCGTGATGCCGGTTCGAACAGCTCTTGTTCCCAGAAATCTGGGAGCTGTAGTTTGTTATAATGGTGCTGAGAGCTGGAGGAGAGACACCCTCCACCCCAAATTCCCCTTTCAGAGCTACAATTCCCAGAGTTTTCTGTGAAGTGGGATTGACAGTTAAACTGTAGCTGTGTGATGGAGAACCGGGATCTCTCCTGACAATGCTCGGCACCCTTAATAACGTTAATTTGGGTAAAACGGTCCCAGATTATTAAAGGCCTTATGGTAACAACTTGAACTCAGGCCTGGTAGTAATTCAGCAACTGGTGGAGGTCCCTGAGCAGGTTCTGCATTGCAGAAATGTATTGTTCTTCTTGTTGGTTTTGCAGGACCCACATTTTAGGGGGCAGATTTTGCTTTATGACCGAAATTGGCAGAGCAGGGAGGCGTTCTTTGAACCACCTTGGTGGCCCTGCCTTGGAGCACAGATGGGATAAGTAGACGGTGAGAAGCAGAGGATTCTGGGAAGGAACCGTGCAGAAGATCCTGAACAAGGAGGACGCCCTCAGCTCAGATGCTGAGCCCCAGCACTTCAGACGGTTTCTCTGCCACGGCCTGCCGAAAGGTTTGTGACTGACTCCACCATCTTTGCCCTGAGTGACTGTGGCCAGAGTGATAGACACGAAAAGCCCGATCTGGTTCTCCTAGAACAGTTTTTGGCTGTCCTCCCCCCAGAGATGGAGAACTGGGTGAGGGAACGTGGAGCAGAGACCGGTTCCCAGGCGGTGGCCCTGGCTGAAGGTTTCCTCTCGAGCCGAGCAGAAGATGTGAAGCAGGAGGAGGAACAGCAGGTACGATACAATAATCTTTATTGTCATTGTCCCATACAAAACAACGAAATTGAAAAAATCTACACCAGACATTCAAAAATCAACAAGCCTGCTATCGCAACTATCCCAGCCTGGTTAGCCCCTAAAAACTCTGATACCCCATAATTGAATACAATATACTCACATAGAGACTACCTTAAAGGTAAAGGTAAAGGGACCCCTGATCATTAGGTCCAGTCATGGTCGACTCTGGGGTTGCGGCGCTCGTCTTGCTTTATTGGCCGAGGGAGCTGGCGTACAGCTTCCGGGTCATGTGGCCAGCATGACTATGCCACTTCTGGCGAACCAGAGTAGCACACGGAAACACCATTTACCTTCCCGCCAGAGCGGTACCTATTTATCTACTTGCACTTTGATGTGCTTTCGAACTGCTAGGTTGGCAGGAGCAGGGACCGAGCAACAGGAGCTCACCCCGTCGTGGGGATTCGAACCACCGACCTTCTGATCAGCAAGTCTTAGGCTCTGTGGTTTAACCCACATCGCCACCCGCAAGAGACTACCTTACACTGCGTTTAAAACCAAAATCGCATTTGGATAGAAACTGTTTCTCAGGCGGCTAGTCCTAGTCTTTATAACCCTGTACCTTCTTCCAGAAGGCAGAAGCTGAAAGAGATCATTTCCGGGGTGCAAACTATCCTGCACTATCTCTACAGCTTTCTTATGGCACCTGGAAGCGTAGATTTGATCCAAGGTGGGAAGAGTGCACCCAATTATTCTCTCCGCAGCCTTTACAACCCTGGACAGCATTGTTTTTCCCCTGACTGTGCAGCTCCCAAACCACACACACAGACCATAAGTTAATACACTCTCCACAGTACAATGGTAAAATGCCATCAACAGGTCCTTTGAGAGATTGTTTTTGCGGAGGCTTTTCAGAAAATATAACCTCTGCTGTGCTCTCTTCATCAGGTCTTTGCTTCATCTTGGTGGTTCCAGGGGGCTGAGAATATTTTCTAAGGACATTGCCAAAGTGTGCAACGGTTGTCCACTTTCCACCCATTCTGGAAGTCCTCCAAGGAGAGGACCACTCATTTCTTTCCTAATCTCTCTCTCTCTCTGTCCCCTCTTTTCTCTTTCTGATCCTTGCTGCTCTTTCAACTGCAGGGATTATTTGCAGAAGAAGCCGTGAACTTTCCTGAGGCAGAGGAGGACCCATCAGACCCCAGGCAGATGCCTCTCTCCAAATGGTGGATCAAGCAGGAGGAAGAAGACGAAGGTGCTCCTTCGTTGGGTAAGGATTCACAAGACATTTCCCAGCTTGGGTCTTCCCCTCTTTGAGCAGGTCTCTCTTGTTTTCCCTTGAGCCTCTGTTGGGGAGGAGCTGACTCCACCAATTGCTTAGCTTCCGTTGTTCGGGAATTTATGCAGTATTTTCTGGAAGGGCGATTTTGTGGGAATTAAACTCTAGTTCCCATAGTAGCAGACTTTTGTGGAAGACACGCCTGGGCCATCTGACCATTTAGCTATTTCTCTTTTCCCTCCTATAAAAACTACGCAAGACACTCTCTTTTTAAGTTTTTGTTGTTGTTGAAATATATATATTTTTGATTTTCCAAAATATAAACATACAACAAAACAACTTCCAAATTTAATGATTGAGATTACTCTGAATCGCCTGACTTCCCCCCATCCCTTCCATGGGTCCTATTGATTCTCTTTCAACTGTATATCAAAACTTCTCCAATTTTTCATCTTCCTTATCTATACATTCTGTTACATTTCAAGTGTGTTTAAAATCCTGCTAATGTTTTGACCTGTTTACAATGATTTTGTATATAAATTATAAATATTTCACATTCTTATTAAAATTTCTTGTCTTCTTGATTTCTGAGCTTCCCAGTTAGTTTTGCCATTTAAAGTTAAAATAACATAAATTTTTTACTTAGTGTGCTTGCAGTTCTAACTTGCTGCTTTAACTGTTAAGACTGTGAACTGACAGTGCAACTAATAGTGGGGCAGGAGAGATGAAAATAATGCCAATGTGTTTCACCCTGGTATTAGATAGTAATAATAATAATAATAATAATAATAATAATAATAATAATAATTTTGTTATTTATACCCCGCCCATCTGGCTGGGTTTCTGTAGCCACTCTGGGCGGCTGCCAACAGAATATTAAAAGCACCAAAAATTAAAAACTTCCCTAAGCAGGGCTGCCTTCAGATGTCTTCTAAAAGTTAGATAGTTGTTTATTTCCTTGACATCTGATGGGAGGGCGTTCCACAGGATGGGCGCCATCACCAAGAAGGCCCTCTGCTTGGTTCCCTGTAACCTCACTTCTCGCAGGGAGGGAACCGCCAGAAGGCCCTTGGAGCTGGACCTCAGTGCCTGGATAGACAGGTCTAAGATGCCTGGGACCCAAATTTTCAGGAGCCTCTGACTCATTTACCAGACGTAATGAATTTAGTGTTGACTCTGGAAGTGTATCCTCTATTCCGACCAAACTAAGCTCTCCTACTCCACTATAAATGTTGACCACTATTGGAACTGGATTTTGAACCAGATGGGCCCCCTTTGGCCTGATCCTGAAGGCTCATCTTGTGCTCTTAATCCTCCATTAATTTGTTTAGAGGAACTGCTAAACCTATTGTCTGGTTGTTTTGGTTTCTGTCATAAGCCTGTCTTGGTTTAAAAGCAGGGCCTAAATCAGTGGTGTGCTGTGGTTATTTTTCATAGGGGAGCATAGAATCATAGAATCATAGAGTTGGAAGAGACCACAAGGGCCATCGAGTCCAACCCCCTGCCAAGCAGGAAACACCATCAGAGCACTCCTGACATATGGTTGTCAAGCCTCTGCTTAAAGACCTCCAAAGAAGGAGACTCCACCACACTCCTTGGCAGCAAATTCCACTGTCGAACAGCTCTTACTGTCAGGAGGTCCTAGAGGCACCAGTTTGCAAGGGAGATTGCGGGGGCGGGGGAACAGACGTCATATTCGTGACATCTTTTTTAATTAATTAATTAGGTTTTTCAGATTACAATTTTACAATTACATATTCAACATACAACTTAAAAACAAGATTCCAAAGAGCCTCCTGGACTTCCCTCTTCTCCTTTGTGGGTCCTATTATTCATCATTTCCTCCTGCATCTTTTATGTCAATCGCATCTTTTACATCTCCATTGTATCCAAAATTCACCATTAAACTATGGTGGTACCTTGGTTCTCGAACTGAATCCATTCCGGGAGTCTGTTCGACTCCCGAAACTGTTCGAAAACCAAGGCGCAGCTTCCGGTTGGCTGCAGGAGCTTCCTGCACTCAGTTGGAAGCCGCGGAAGCTGTGTCGGACGTTCGGCTTCTGAAAACTGTTTGCAAACCAGAACACTCACTTCTGGGTTTGTGGCGTTTGGGAGCCGATTTGTTCAACAACGTTCGGTAACCAAAGTACCACTGTAGAAGTGTTATTCCAATCCTGCTAACAATTTTAGCTGTTTACAGTGGTTTTTAAGATAAATTATAAATTTCCCCATTCCTTATTAAACTTTTGGTCTTCCTGATTTCTGATTCTTCCGGACATTTTAGCCATTTCAGCATCTTGACGTCCTGACGTCCCATGCTTGAGAATCGTGCTTCCCTCCCTAAGCCCGGCAAAAACTTTGTGGGCTTGGGGAAGACTAGCCTAGTCCCCTTAGTCCATTGACTGCACACCACCGGTCTAAATAATTAAGAAACCGGTCTTCCTGTCATCTTTGTTCCCCTTGCAGGAGAAGGACTGAGGATTATTGTGGTGTGTCCTCCCTCGCCCCTTCCTGATGGCGGAGTGGAAGCACCTTCTGTGCCTCTGGAACAGGTAAGAGAAGAGGCTGCAGGTGAGCCTGGCTGCCTCTGTGTCCTGCACAACTCACTGGGCCTGGAAAAATTGTGGGAATGTTGTGGATAGCAGGAGGGGATATATTGATGAAATATTATCCTTCCTCACTCATGCTAGTGAGTCAGTAGCAGAGTACATTCTCCAGTATATTGCAGGAAGCTAGTTGGTAGATTCGTTTGAATCTCTTTACTTAAGCAGTCCAATCTAGGTTGTCCAGATTGCGTTTTGTTCCTGGTAAATTCCCCCTTCTTCTTTGTTTTATTTCATCTTGATGTATTTTGTTGTCTGCCGGCTCTCAGCCAGCAGCACACGGGCTCATTCCCATATGGGATGAACTCAAACTCTGTTCTGTAACTATAAGCTAAAGTCTGCATTCAGTTTGCTTACTGAACGTCAGTAAACTTCTTATCAATATTTTAAGAGAAGACTGTTTTGTCTTTATTCTTTATTTTTAGGAGGGATTAAAGGGGAATTTGGGACGCGGGTGGCGCTGTGGGTTAAACCACAGAGCCTAGGACTTGCCGATCAGAAGGTCGGCGGTTCGAATCCCCGTGACGGGGTGAGCTCCCATTGCTCGGTCCCTGCTCCTGCCCACCTAGCAGTTCGAAAGCATGTCAAAGTGCAAGTAGATAAATAGGTACCGCTCCGGCGGGAAGGTAAACGGCGTTTCTGTGCGCTGCTCTGGTTTGCCAGAAGTGGCCTAGTCATGCTGGCCACGACCCGGAAGATGTATTCTGGCTCCCACAGCCAGTAAAGTGAGATGAGCGCCGCAACCCCAGAGTCGGTCACGACTGGACCTAATGGTCAGGGGTCCCTTTACCTTTCCCTTAAAGGGGAATTTACGAGGAACAAAACCCAATCTGGACAAAGCCAGATTGGATTCCTTAAGTAAAGAGATTCAAACGAATCTACCAACTAGCTTACGGGGGAATGTACTCTGCTACTGACTCACTAGTGTGAGTGAGGAAGGATAATATTTTTATTTTTATTTTTAATGTATTTTTATTAAAGATTTTCTTGATTTACAAAGGTATGTGCAATGTCTCCCTCTCGTATTTTTTCCCCATGTAACTTTTTTTTTTACAAATCGGTTTCATTTGTTGAGACATTAGGAAGAAAAGAGGGAAAGAGGTGGAGTGGGGGAAAGATGGATGGGGGTGGGGTCGGTTGGCAATGTTTCTATTTTATTTAATACATGTGGGGTTTTGTGTCAGCATCGCTTGTGCAGGTTCCTTGCTGTTCACTTGTGTTCCTTTGGTGGTGAGAGGGGTTGGGGTTGGCCTAGGGTGTGGCTGTTCATTTGTGGTTGGCTGTGGTGGTCTTTGTTTACATGTGTGAGTGGGGTGGGTGGGTGTTTTGGATCAGGTTAGCCATACTGATTTGTATGCTGTTGGTGGGTTTTTGTCATTGTCTTGTTGTGCTGTGTGTGTGATAAAGGGGAGCCATACCAGGGTGAAGGCGTCTTCTTCTATTTGTCCCCGTGTCAGTTTCAATTTATTGGTTAATTTTTCTGGTAAGGCTATTTCCCATACTATTTGGTACCATTGCTCCATGCTTACTCCTGACAGGTCTCTCCAGTGTCTGGTGGTAATAATAATAATAATAATAATAATAGTAAAAAAAATTATTTATACCCCACCCTCCCTGGCCAGAGCCGGGCTCAGGGCGGCTAACACCAATAAAATCACAGTAGAAACATAATAGGGGAAAAAGAGAGGGGGGGGAGAGAAAAGAAAAGAAAAAAACCAATTTAAAATACAGGTTAAAATGCAATTTAAAATGCAGCCTCATTTTAAAGTAGCTGATAAATCAAGACCATAAGGGGAGGGAAACATAAGGGTCAGACCGAGTCCAAACCAAAGGCCAGGCGGAACAGCTCTGTCTTGCAGGCCCTGCGGAAAGACGTCAAGTCCCGCAGGGCCCTAGTCTCTTGTGACAGAGCGTTCCACCACGTTATGATGTTTCTGGTTGCTGAGAGAGGTGGGTTAAGGAAGGATAATATTTAACCAATATATCCTCTTCTACTATCCACAACATTCCCGCAAAAATCAACCTCTTCCCCATCTGCTCTCATCCTAGCTGCCCAGCAAGGAAGCTGCGAATGTTGTTTCTGATGATTTAAATCTTGAAAGGCAGCTACATAAACAAGCTTTCCCTTCTTCCTCTTCTTTGCCATTCTCCATGCAGAGATCACATTTCTTTTTATCCCCCGCTCAGGTGACGTTTGAGGATGTGGCTGTATGTTTCACCGCGGAAGAATGGAGCTCGCTGGAACCAGACCAAAGGGCCCTGCACCGGGAGGTCATGGAGGAGAACTGGAAAATGGTCACCTCCCTGGAACAGCAAGGCTTGGCTGCCCACGAAGCAGCAGTGCAGGCTGGGAGCAGCGAGGAACTCTGGGAAAGGACTGTGCAAAAGCTCATAGGTGAGCATCTCCCTTTTTTCTGTGGCTGAGGCTCCCTTTTCCTCGGAGCTGGTAAAGTCACCCTCCCATTTGTGATCTGCAGTGAATACTCCCTTTCTCACTTCAGTACTTACGAAGCTTCCTTTTGTTCCAGGAGCAGGGAGTCAGGGCGAAGGGGAACGCAGTGCGGCGTCCTTGCCAAGAGCCCGACGCAAAGAGGGCAGAGAGCCGAGGAGGAAAGCAGAAGCTAAGCAGAAGAGCAAGGAGTCGTCTGCCCGTCGAGGCAGCGGCGCCTGCGCAATCCCAGCCGAAGAGAAACAGGACAAGAGGAAGGAAAGGTGTCCGGTGTGCGGCAAAATGTTCAAATGGAAATCGAGCCTCGATGCTCACTCCAAAGTCCACACTGGGGAGAAGCCGTTCAAATGCCTGGAGTGTGGGAAGGGCTTCAGCCGGAGCTCCAGCGTGACGTCGCACGAGAAGATCCACAGAGGGGAGAAGCCGTACGAGTGCGCCGATTGCGGCAAGAGCTTCATTCGCCGGGACTCCCTCATCTCCCACCAGAGGATCCACACGGGGGAGAAGCCCTATAAGTGTCTGGAGTGCGGGAGGAGGTTCAACCGGAAAGGGAGCCTTATTTTCCACCAGAGAATCCACGCGAGGGACAAGCCCTACAAGTGCTCTGAGTGCGGCAAGAGCTACTGCAGGAATTCGAGCCTCATCTCTCACCGGAGAATCCACACTGGCGAGAAGCCCTTTCAGTGCCTGGAGTGCGGACAGAGTTTCAGAGAGAAGAAGAGCCTCACCGCTCATCAGGGAACCCACACGGGCGAAAAGCCCTTCAAGTGCTTTGAGTGCGGACAGAGCTTCAACAGCAAAGGGAATCTCAATTTGCACCAGCGGATCCACTCCGGCGAGAAGCCGTTCCGGTGCCTGGAGTGCGGGCAGAGCTTCATCCGGAAAGGCGCCCTTATCTCACATCAGAGCATCCACACCGAGGAGAAGCCCTTCAAGTGCTCCGAGTGCGGCAAGTGCTTCCGGAAGAACTCGAACCTCGTTTCTCACCAGAGCATCCACACGGGCGAGAAGCGGTTCCAGTGCTTTGAGTGCGGGCGGAGCTTCACGCGGCGAGGCACGCTCAACTTGCACCAGCTGCTCCACACCGGCGAGAAGCCGTTCAAATGCCTGGAGTGCGGAAAGAGCTTCATTGTGAAAGGGTCCCTCGTTTCGCACCAGAGGATCCACACGGGCGAGAAGCCCTTCCAGTGCCAGGAGTGCGGGAAGAGCTTCATGAGGAGAGACTCCCTCATCTCGCACCAGAATATCCACACGGGAGAGAAGCCCTACACGTGCCCCGAGTGCGGGAAGAGCTTCCGCCAGAAGAGCAACCTCACCGCTCACGAGGGAACCCACACCGGGGAGAAACCTTACAGCTGCCTGGAGTGCGGGAAAAGCTTCCGGCGGAACGAGAGCCTGAAAAAGCACCAGAGGCTGCACCTGGAACAGCTGCCTTGGAACATGGAAATAGCTCCCATGGCGACTCCAGTCCACAGGGGAGGAACCATCCAAATGCTTCGGATGTGGGACGAGCTTCGGCCAGAATATAAGGATCACGTCACACTGAAGAACCCACCCATGGGGGAATCCTAGAAGTGTGCACAGCGTGAGGGGAAAGTGCCAATCTTCTTTAGATTCCCTATATTGCAGGGGGTTGGACTAGATGACCCCTGGGTCCCTTCCAGCTCTACCGTTCTATGATTCTGTCGTTTTGCGATTCACATCCGAAGGAAGCATATGTAACAAAGTAGATTAGAGCAGTCGATGAAGTAGATTAGAGAATTCCCCCCCCCCCATGGACCACTTGATGGTCTTGACAAACCATTTAATTACAGTTAATACCTCTTGTTACGTTTGCTTCAGGTTGAGCATTTTCAGGTTGTGTCCCGCAGCGACCCGGAAGTACTGGAAAGGGTTACTTGCGGGTTTCGCCACATGCGCAGACGCGCATGTTGACATCACACGCATGCGCAGAAGCGGCGAATCGCGACCCACGCAGACGCGGGTTGCGTTCTGCTCATGTTGCGAACGGATCCCGTTCGCAACCAGGGATACCACTGTATTCCCCTCCCCTTGCCCGTTGTAGCAATTGTAACACACTTTGCTAGGTGCTGTATGATTTTAAACGGTATTTTAAATGCTATTTCATAGAAGGACAATTTGCATTTGGATCGCAATAAAAGACAATATAAGAAATAAAAGAAGCAATGGGAAATACAGCTAAAAATCAATAGGAATGTTTAACACGGACGTGCCATGACATACCTGAACGAAGCTTGTGGACCACTGGGAACCCCTGGAATAGAGCTCTAGTGACTAATTGGACCTTTGCAGCCAACAGAGAGTCAACACATGAGACTGATGTTCAAATCCCTACAAACCCTGTATTGTACTTAGGGAAATGAATAGAGTCAGAATCTTACAAAGTTTAGTGTTTTGAGTAAGCATTTAACACTGTCGCCTTTTGTGAATGAACTATCACTCCTAGTGACCTAGAGCGGCCACCGCCATGGGGGCTGGGGACTCAAAAGAGAATTTGGGATGCTTCAGTGGGGTGGGGAGATGATTATATGGAGCAGTGATAGTGGCTGATAAAGCTACTATTGAGGCACAGAGGGAGAAATGGACTCCCTCTCTCATTTTATGAGAACTCAAGTTTACCTAGTGAAAACAAGCAGCGATGTTTAGTGAGAGAGAGAAAAAGGACGATTAGGACCATCATCTTACACATCGATATAATGTTGTGGTTAGGTAGTTAACTGCTTCACTTTTTTGTGAATGAACCATTTTGTGGCTGGCGCCCGTGACATCTTCATCAAAATTCCAAGGGTATTCATTGGCAAAAAAAAAAAAAAAAGGTTGATGGCGACCACATCTCTCCCTATATTCTCAACCCACGCATACAAGAGGCATTTATCCAGAGTTGGAGGCCGCAATCCTGCCAGCCAAGCAAACACACTCAAGGTGAATGAGAAGCAAGGCCATTGAAAGGTATAGGTCCCCATACACACCTGGGAATATAACTGCCTTGAACTCCCTGGGAGTTTACTTCCAGCTCAATATCTTCCAATGGACTTGTATTTTGTGGGACTTTAAATTGGATGATTCCTCACCCCACCCCATTATGCTTTTTATTTTTATTTTGCAAGGATCGACCACGTAGCCCTTTTAAAGTAGAGATCTTTATCCCAGTGTGCATCTGTATTAGATATGAAACTCATATATGGTTTTCTCCTTGATGCCTCGTAGGAAGTGATTCATAAATTAAAGTAAATAAAGTCCTTTCCGTTGTTGAACAAAGAAACATGAATCCCTGAAATGAACTTTCCTCTCTCTCTCTCTCTCCCTCTCCCTCTCTTTCTCTTTCTCTTTCTCTCCCTCTCCATGACAGGTTGTCAATCAACTGGCGTTTCTGGACCTGGTTCTGTCTGTATCCCTGTAAGAAAAGAGTTTGGACCCACTGTGCGTCTGATGATGTCACCTGGCAGAATTATGGCATCATATGATTTGACAGGCGGGTGCTGCCACTCATCTGCCAAAGTTGATCTGCAAAGCCTGGGATTGGTGGGGAGCTGAGCTCAAACAATAGCTCTCCTACTGACAGAGAGCCTCTTATGCAAAGGAGTTGCAGACCTCCTGCACACTTGCCCTCTTCCTGGCTTTGCAGAGAAGGCAAAAGGACTCTCTCTGCTCCCTGACTTGGGGGGTCTCCCCACGCATGAGCTGAGCAGACCCTCTATGCATCCTCCCCTGCAGCCCTGGGACTTTGCCCCTTCTTCCCAATACACCCTATGGGGAAGAGAGAGGAGGCTTGCCAGATCCCAGAAGGGGCACTGAGCAGGGGTGCCAACTTGAATAAAATATTTTTTTGGGGGGGTAAACCCTGCCTCATAATAAATATGACATCATTTGGAATGAGTTTATGCAGAATGCAGCAGGCTAGTCACATCTAAAAATGTATTGGGATAATAACACTTTATCAATTTATATAGGAAAATATGGGATAGTACATTGCATTTTTGAACACTTTCCCCTCTTTTTGCTCTTATGCATATCTTTGTTCACTTTTTCCCCTTCTTCCCCTCTTTATTACTGAATTTTTCCCATTAAAAATATCAAAAAATCACATGACATGGTGCACACACACACCATTTGAATGCAAATACCCATCAACTTTTGGGGAGACCGGCCCCCTAAAATATATTTTATTGGTCAAATTTTTTAAATTACGTTTTACATTGCAAATTTAAATTCAAATATTAAACATCAACATCAAGGATTCCCTGAACCCCTTGACTCCCCTCTGCTCTTCAGTGGTTACCATTATCAATCTTTTTTCATCTGCTTCTCTTATTTTCTCTATTTTCCTTAATCCATTTTTACCATAATTTTTAGTACATTACAAGCGTTACTCAAAATCCTGCCAAAGTTTTTAGTTGTTTACAGTGTTCTCTTAAATACATTGCAAATTTTCCCCATTCCTTCTTAAAGTTCTTCTCTTCCTGGTTTCTCCCGCCTGCGCCCCAATAAAATATTTTAGGGGTAGTCAGAAACCCTAAAAATGTTTTATGGGGTGGTGGTGAAGGGACCTCTGCCCCTATGAGTTGACTCATGTGGCACAGAGGCAATATGTGCAGAGCAGAGGCAGAAGCTGCCACCCCCCTTGCAAAAACAGACGGAGAAGGGAAAGGATTTTGCTTGCAGCGGTTCTCAACCTGTGGGTCCCCAGATGTTGTCGGACTACAACTCCCATCATCCCTGAGCTCTGGCCTTGCTAGCCAGGGATGATGGGAGTTGTAGTCCAACAACATCTGGGGACCCACAGGTTGAGAACCACTGCTTGGGGGGTCTGCCCTCCCCACCTCTAGCTTTTACTGAGGGATGCTGCTTAGTGCTTTTTAACCCTTGGCAAGCCAAACGTGCTCAGCTCAGCCCTCTCTGAAATTTCTCTCTTGAAAGCAGGAGTGAGACCATGTGCATCGCACGCACCCCCCCAAAGATGCTTTATTTAGGGGATCCTTTCAGCTGGCATCCTTGTGAGCTGTTCCTTCTGTTGGCTATTTAAAGAAGGAGCAGTGAAAAGGCTCTGCAAGGAGGAGGAAACGCCATCCTAGAACCAGAAAATGGGAGAGATGGCAAGGGACCACCTAGTCCAGCCCTCTGCAATGCAGGAATTATATATAATAAATGTTCATAAATGTACCAACCAAGCGCATACAGTGGTACCTCGGGTTACATATGCTTCAGGTTACAGACTCCGCTAACCCAGAAATAGTGCTTCAGGTTAAGAACTTTGCTTCAGGATGAGAACAGAAATTGTGCTCTGGCGGCGCGGCAGCAGCAGAAGGCCCCATTAGCTAAAGTGGTGCTTCAGGTTAAGAGCAGTTTCAGGTTAAGTACGGACCTCCGGAACAAATTAAGTACTTAACCCGAGGTACCACTGTACATAGATGTGTGGACCACATGTCTGGAGCAGCACAGGAGGACCGCCCTGAAACCATTTTCACTTCCAAACTGACCAAATGTTTTCTTCAAGGAGGGAGGAGGTGGGGGAGCCACCCCATTGTCTTTTTGTTCACAAATCCTGTCTTAAGGATATGTCTGTGTATGAATAGGGTGAGCCTGTGACCTGGCTCAGGAACTAAGTATTTATCATTACAAAAGACTGGCCAGGCTCCCCAGGGTATCCAATCAAGTAAGCATTAACAGGTAACCTGCCAGACAGGAGGTAAACAACGCACTCAGATTTCTGTTGTAGACCGCCCTTTCTGTGATGTAGGTATGATGTATCTGGGGGTTGTCTTGGACTCCAAGGCGGACAATTTAAAATGTCTATATAAGGGCGGACACACCTTTGTTCTGGGTCCTCCTTTCCTGCGTGTGAAAGGGGCACCCTGTTGCAACAGTTCAGTAAAGATCAGGCTTACGAGCTGCTTTGCTTCTCAATATTCTCTGATTGGCCTCCGTTATTTTCTCCAACCGATGGAGAACCTACAAAGGGCTCTATAAGGGCTCTTGTGTCCCCCATAAGGGAATAAGGGCAGATTTTCGTTTATTACAGAGGTTTATAAGCAGAGGTTCAATGGCCCTCAGTCATGGATGCTCCAGTTGAGATTCTTGCATTGCAGGGGGTTGGACTAGATGACTCTGGGGTTCCCTTTCAACTCTACCATTCTATGATGCTATGATATTGAGGAGAGCAGAACCAGAGGTGCACAGGTGTAGTTTGAGACTGCTGGTGGTCCAGACAGACCATTTCATTAATTCAGCCCCCTCCTCCCCACTGCCCCTTGTAGCAATTGTTAACACAGTGTGCTAGGTGCTGCATGACTTTTAAGAGAATGACGATTTGCATTGGGGTCGCGATAAAATACAATGTGAGAAATAAAAGAAGAGACGAAAAGGAATGCAACTAAAAATCCATATGGATATTTAACACGGGCGTCCCTGAACCAGGCCGCGATTGCTAGGGGGGCGCCCGGTTGCTAAGCAGCCAGAGTAGGCCCCGTTGCTAAGGGGCGGAGCCGGCCGAAGCGACGCGAGGAGGCGGAGAAAGGGACCCGGATGATGCCGGGCGGAGCTACGCTTGCGGCCGGAAGGAAGCCGGGCTAGCCACGACCCGCAGGTAACCATGGCAACGGGGGGGAGATTTTTCTGCGACAATTTGAAGGACCTGCCCGTCAACCTTAAGATTCTTTTTTTCATCAGGGCCATTTTCTCCCCTGAGCTTCAGGAGCTCCAGAGACCCCGCTCCATTGCCTGAGCCCAGATGCCAGGGCTTAGGGCGGCCGCCTTTGATTGGGGGCGATTGATTTTCTCACCTGGTGCTGAATCGACTTCACAGCAACCCATTGCGATCTGTTGCATCCTCACAGGGTGACCCCTCTGCAATTTGTCTCTCTCACACTTATTAATGTGTAGATCTGTCTGTGCTTGGCCACCCAGAGCTTATTTTTACTACGTATTTTGTGGTTTTATATCTTGATTTTATTCTGTGAACTGGCCTGAGACTCCTGGGTATAGGGCGGTATATAAATTCAATTAATAAGAATAATAATACACGGCCTTCCACACACCCTTCCGAACACATGCGTTTTTTGGGAGAGGAGCCCTAACTCGGCAGGCAGGCAGAAGACCTGAAGTTCAGGACAAAATAATAGCAGTAATAATAATTTAATTATTTACGCCCTGCCCATCTGGCTGGGTTTCCCCAGCCACTCTGGGCGGCTCCCAACAGAATATTAAAAACACAATAAAACATCAAACATTAAAAACTTCCCTACAACTGTATCTGTACATTTTACGTAGCGTTTCACATTGAAATACAGGACAATCCTGCATTATACAGGACAGGTGGCAAGCCTGTCAGCGCTGGTTCCCAGATTCCAGACACCATGTTGGAGGATACAGAAAGAAGCCCTCAAGCCTCCCAGGCTGAGAGCAGTGGGAAATTCTGGGAAGGCAGTGTGAAGAAGATCCTGGGTCAGGAAAGCAACATCCTCTGTTCAGATGCTCCCAGCCAGCGCTTCAGGCATTTCTGCTACCACGAGGCCGAAGGACCCAGAGCGGTTTGCAGTCGACTCCACTATCTCTGCCATCAGTGGCTGAAGCCAGAGCGACACACAAAAGCTCAGATCTTGGACCTGGTGATCCTGGAGCAATTCCTGGCTGTCCTTCCCCCGGAGATGGAGAGCTGGGTCAGGGAATGTGGAGCGGAAACCAGTTCCCAAGCGGTGGCCCTGGCAGAAGGTTTCCTCCTGAGTCAGGCAGAGGAGAAGAAGCAGGCAGAGCAGCAGGTGAGACACTTTAATCTTAATAGTTTTGTGCTGATGGCTGTATTTTCATAAACGTAAAATAAACAAAAACATTTTTATTGTTTTGGATATTAGAGGCTGCAGCAAAAATAACTTACTTGTTAAATTTTAACTGCTATATTACAACCTATGTGCCAGTCATCCATTATCCCTTTTCTTCTATTGTTTAGGTATTTAGAATATAAATGTTTAAAAATCCCATATACAGTGGTCCCTCGGGCTACATACGCTTCAGCTTACATACGCTTCTGGTTACAGAGTCCACTAACCCAGAAATAGTACCTTGGGTTAAGAACTTTGCTTCAGGATGAGAACAGAAATCGCGTGGCGGCGGTAGCGGGAGGCCCCATGAGCTAAAGTGGTGCTTCAAGTTAAGAACAGTTTCAGGTTAAGAACGGACCTCCAGAACGAATTAAGTACTTAACCTGAGGTACCACTGTATATCTCTACCTACCTATCTATCTATCTATCTATCTATGTTTACCCAGGTATTCAGTGTCTGAAGTTTTATTGAGTGACATGTTACATTAGGGCATTTCCTAACATGTATTCCATGTATATCCTTTTTCTCATCCATTTCTCTCTTTACTCCCTGCATATTCTAGTTTCACGAGCAGGAAGCAGATGCTGATCTCCCCGAGGCAGAGGAGACTCCACGGATGCCGAAAATACCTTCTCTTCCTTGTGGTGGGGCAGAAGCCGCCTCAGTAAAACTATATCAGGTAAGCAGGCGACGGGGAATGATCACTGGGTAGCCAGGTGGGGACAGGATCCTGGCCCTCGTTGCCAGACGAACTCAAGCTCCCGATTCTTTTTCTGACAAAGCCTTTGCTGCATCAATCGGATTGGTACAAGGTGTGGCTTACAAAGTATAGCAGGTACAAGACAGGTATTTTTGCACTAGCTAAGGTGTTGATCCAGCAGATGTCATGTCCAGTGTGTCTTCCTTTTGATGAGCTGGGCGGGCAGCAGCTGAAGTCCAAGGATTGGCAAGAAAGTGGGCACGCCTTCTTGTGGGTTGGAGCCTGTGAAGTTGGTTTGCAGAGAAGTGAAGTTGGTCTTGGCTCAGCATCCGAATATGCTTTCAGTGACCTCACCAGAAGTCTGTGGGAGAAAATTCCCTTGGTGGAGGATGGGGGTTAGAGGCTCACACCAAACCCCCAATTAGTCTGACTTCATTCAGTAATGTGTTACCAGATGAAAGAGTCTGTGAGAGCATATCCATTAGCAAATGTGCATCGTCAAGGCTGTTTCTTCTCTAGCCAACCACTTTCTGCCACCTCAACGCCCCACTGTCTCTTCATCCAACTGCAGTCCTTGAAAACACTCAACCCAAGTTTTTTGCTCTCTGTTCAGAGCCCTCCATATGCCTTATCTGGAGTTGTCTTTCACACTAACAGTCAGCGCTGGGTTTCTCCTATTCATTTAATTTATACACCACCCTATACCCGGAGGTCTCAGGGCGGTTCACAGAAAACCAGGGCGGTTCATAAATAAAACCAAAATAAAAACAATAACCCAATAACACCACACCACACCCCCAAAAGAGCCACATTTTAAAAGGGTGTGGGATGTCAATCAGGTCAACCAAAGGCCTGGTTAAAAAGGAACATTTTTGCCTGGCGCCTAAAGTTGTATAATGAAGGCACCAGGCGAACTTCCCAGGGGAGAGCATTCCACAGATGGGGAGCCACTGCAGAAAAGGTCCTGTTCTTGTGTTGCCATCCTTTGGACCTCTCGAGGTGGAGGCACATGAAAGAGGGCCTCAGAAGATGATCTCAGGTGCATATGGAAAGAGGCGGTCCTTGACGTATTGCGGTCCTGACCCGTTTAAGGCTTTATAGGCTTTGAATTTGGCCTGGAAACTAATCAGTAGCCAGTGCATTTGGACCAGGATTGGAGTAACATGGGCAAACTGTCTTGCTCCAGTGAGCAACATGGCCACTGAATTCGGCACTAGCTGAAGATTCCGAACCATCTTCAGAGGCAACCCTACATATAACACATTGCACTTTGTAACAGTTCTTACCACTTCTGTGGTCAGGCCTCGCTCTGGTGTAGTGACACTGGCCTCACTGATAATAGTTTTTGCAGAATTTCTACCTCAAGTGAGAGGCTCTTCGCTGATAGAAGGTACCAGAAGCAGCTCCACAATAAGGCGTGTCTTGAGTAGAGGTTTCCGACGTGACGGGCAGAACGCTTCTCTGTCAGTCTTCCTCGTTCCCTAACTTAGATCTAGCTCCTTATTTTCCCAATGGCCCTCATGAAGGTTTAAATCCTATAAGGAGATACCCGCCAACATCACCCTTAATTGTTTTGTCTGATTGCACTTGAAGGGGGGAGAATTGAAGCAATAACTGTGCAGGGTGAAATGTTTCTTTCTCTTTCAGGATCTTTTGGTATTTGAGGAGGTGGCTGTGTACTTCACTGGGGAGAAGTGGGCGCTGCTAGATTCAAACCAAAGGACCCTTCACAGGGACGTCATGAAGAAATGTGGGATCATGACTTCTCTAGGTAAAGTTCCTTCTGTTTAACGTTTCATAAAAATCAGTGTCCAAATTCTAATAAATTATTGGAACCTTTTTTAGTTTTCTTTTTGCATTCTTACCTACTGGCAGAGGGCTCAGTAGTTATTTCTGATATTTTGAATTCATATGAGTTTGTATTGAACTGTTTTGATAAACTTGTTTGTGCTTTATTAAGATGTGACTGTATTTTTTTATATTACAGTGACCACTGAGAGTCAGTGTGGTGTAGTGGTTAAGAGTGGTAGTCTCGTAATCTGGTGAACTGGGTTCAAGTCTCCACTCCTCCACATGCAGCTGCTGGGTGACCTTGGGCTAGTCACACTTCTCTGAAGTCCCTCAGCCCTACTCACCTCACAGAGTGTTTGTTGTGGGGGAGGAAGGGAAAGGAGAATGTTAGCCGCTTTGAGACTCCTTAGGGTAGTGATAAAGCGGGATATCAAATCCAAACTCTTATTGTTCTTCATAATGTTTGTTAATTTTCAACGCTATTGTTATCATGAAATGCTTTCATCTCAACATTTGTTGTTGGAAAAACAGAATGCAAGTATTAAATCTAAGATCACCACCTTGAGTCTTCCTCTTCCAGTCCAGCTGGCTTCTGGGGGTTTCTTCCCAGGAAGCCCTGGGCTGGCAGATATTTGCCAAAGCCATTCAATGATGTCAGGTGTGACTGTCAGAGGCTGCGTTCCCCACTTGCTTCTGGAGGAAGTGGTTTGATGCTCTAAGGCCGCAACCTCATGTGTATGCATCAAAACATAAGTTTTGATCAAGCCAAAGGTCCACCGTGTGGTCAGGGAATGGTCATATGCAGAGGAATGGTGGAGGAACCAGCTGGGGAACCCCCAAGGGAAGAAGGCTCACGGCTTGGGGATTGGTGGTAGGACAATGATGAGTAGTCAGAGGGAAAAGACTGGGAGGAGGAGGTGTCGGAAGCTGAAGAGGTAACAGGGTTTAGTGAGCGGGGAGAGTCTGTGACAGAGAGAAGCCCAGAATCACAGGCAGAAGCTGAAGCAGGAGAGGAGGGAGGCCAAGAGGCAAAGATGTGTCAGACTGGTGAAGAGGCATGGGTGTCTCCCCCTCCTGCTGAGACCAGCTCCCCTCCTTCCTGGTCTCCCTGAACCAAGAGAGGCCTGAAGCAGGAGGAGCAAAGACAGCTACACCGGCATAGTCTCTGATTGCTTCGGAAGGAGAGGAGGAGACACAGCAAGCTGTAGGGAGATGGGGACCTCTAGTCTTGGCAACTGCTTCATGGGGACAAGACCTGAGTTCTCATTAGGCCTGACACTTGTGTTTTGCTAATAAAGAGTTACCGTATTTTTCGCTCTATAGGATGCACCCGACCATAGGACGCACTTTGTTTTAGAGGGGGAGAACAAGAAAAAATAACTCCCCCTCTCTGCTCAGCGCCCCTTCAGCGAAGCGGCAGGAGAAATGGAGCCCCTTCCATTCTCCTCCCGCTTCGCTGAAGGGGCGCTGCGCAGCTCTCCCTCTCTGCTGAAGCCAGGAGAGTCTTGCTCTCCCGGCTTCAGCAAAAGGAACCCGAAGCCTTCGAAGCACAGCGCGAGTTTCCGCTGCGCTCCAAAGGCTTCAGGCGGTTATCCCTGAAGCCTGGAGAGCGAGAGGGGTTGGTGCGCACCGACCCCTCTAGCTATCCAGGCTTCAGTGAAAGCATCACGTAGCCTCCAGAGCGCGGAGGAAGCGCTCCCTCTGCACTTCGGAGGCTTTGTGTTGCTATTGCTGAAGCTAAGGAGCCTGCATTCGCTCCATAGGACGCACACACATTTCCCCTTAATTTTTGGAGGAGAAAAAGTGCGTCCTATAGAGCGAAAAATACGGTAACTCTAGCTTGCTTGGGGTGATTTACTGCTGGCTTGCTGCTGCCATCTAGCACCCTGCTTCCTTCAGTGGCCAGCCAGATGTCTCTATCAGCAGGGTGTAAAGGCACAAGCCCTCTGTGATTGTTACTTCAAAGCAGCTGGTATTGAGAAGCAAACCTCTTCTGAAGCTCTAACTTAGTGTGACTTGGCCAGAGAAAAAGCCAGATGTAAATAATCTAAATACATAACAACAGAAAAAGGGTATAAATAATCCAATATCTCCCTGCCATTCCAGGCAGTGAAATAACAGCAGCCATCAGTTCGAGGCCGCCTGTTCTTCAGGATGGAATGGGAACGGATTCCACGCAACCAGACAAGGTAAGGGGTTGATCATCCCAGATCCTTCACTGACCTACAGTGCCCATTGCTTCAGTGATGAGTGTGAACAGGTCTCTGTCCTCTCCTCATCTTCCTGGGCCTGAACCATCACCTTTGCTTCTGTCAATTTGCTCACTGAGGAGATTGTGAGCGCCATAGCTCTGGTGCAGAATATTTGCTTTGTATGCACAGGTTCTTGGGTTCAGTTCCCAGCATCTCCACGTAGAGCTGGGAGACTCCGGAAACCCTGGAGGGCCTCTGCCGGTCAGTGTAGACTCAGTATAATGCAGCTTCTTTAAAGACTTTCTTTTCTCTCTCTCTCTCTCTTTTTGGTAATTTTTATTTACTTTTCTTCACTTTTATTTGTACAAGAAACGTGCAAAACAGCATTTGACAGCATATAAAAAGCAAAACATAAACATATATATTAGAAGCAAAAAAACTTGTTTTGATGAATTGGAATAGCCGCAAAAAGATTCCATTGAGCACATGGATTGATAATATGGACAGATTAGCTACATACGAATGAATTGCATGTCGACCCAAAATAAGAATGGATAAATATGAAAAAAATCTGGAACAAATATTTAAGCGATAAGGCGCTTAAGTGGTGGGAAGTAGGAGAGAGAGGTGGGAAAATATTGTTTAAAAAGGTGTAGTTGTAGGTATATCAGTGTATTCAAATCTGAATTGTCAAATTGTATTATTATTGTTATTATGGTTTTTGTTGTATGTGTCTTTTGCGGTTGATGTTTGTATCGAAGAAATGATTAAACAAATTTTTAAAAAAGCAAAACATATAATAAAAATAAAATGGCATGTATGTGCATGGCTGTGTATACGTGCATTGCACCAACCTGGAAGTGATAAACGTCATAAAGATGTCACTGAAAGGGCGGAATGAGGTGTTTGCAGGCTTTTCCAATGGGTTTCAATTAAATGAAATTTTGCCACCACGCACGGTGCCTCAGAATGTAACCCGCCGCCTAAACGGGGGGGCTGCTTGTAATACATTTGTATTTGGGCTAAGTATCAAAGCTCAAGCTGTGAAAGGAAACAAGTTGTGTCCAGAGAGGGAGCCACCACGGAAAAGGCCCATTCTCGTGTTGCCACCCTCTGGGCCCCTTGTGGAGAGGGGGCGCACGGAGAAGGGCCTCAGAGGGCGATCACAGGGCCCAGATTGGGGAGAGGCAGTCCAAATCAGATAAAAAGCACCCGGTGGCTCCGAGCCTTGTCTAAATCTTACGTCAACGTGTAATTTCCTCCATTATAGCCGACTTTCAGGACTTCCAACAAGCCTTTCAAGCTGAAAGCTTTCCCAGTTTCTAAGACGTTTTTACTGCTTTATCATTTGCTGCTTGCTGCCCTGGGCTGTTTAGGGAAGAAGTCTGGGATATAAATTTAAGAAATCTGAATGATCTGGGGGGGGATCTGGCGACCCTCCAGCTGGACTCCCAACTCCCATCATCCCTGACTATTGGCCATGGTAGCTGGAGCTGATGGAAGTTGGGGTCTGGCGGCTTAAATCCTCCTGCGGAGAAACACCTGCTTGGCTGCCCCACTTTTACTGCCTTACTTGCAGTAAGTAGAAGGGGAAGAAGCATGACTTGTTGCCTGTTTGAACCCTATGTCTTCTAGGGCCTGGTGACCTTTGAGGACGTGGCTGTGTATTTCAATGAGGAGGAGCTGACCGTGCTGGATCCGCATCAGAGAGACCTGCACAGGGAAGTCATGGAGGAGAACTTCTGGAACGTGTCCTCTCTGTGTAAGCTTTCCTCCTTTTTCACCTCCGGGGTCAGAAGCAGACTGTAAACATTAGGAAACAAATAATACGTTTCCGAGCACAATTCAAAGTGCTGGTGCTGACCTTTAAAGCCCTAAACGGCCTCAGCCCAGTAAACCTGAAGGGACGTCTCCACCCCCATTGCTCAGCCCGGAAACTGAGATCCAGCGCCAAGGGGTGAGCTCCCATTGCTCGGTCCCTGCTCCTGCCAACCTAGCAGTTCGAAAGCACGTCAAAGTGCAAGTAGATAAATAGGTACTGCTCTGGCGGGAAGGTAAACGGCGTTTCCGTGCACTGCTCTGGTTCGCCAGAAGCGGCTTAGTCATGGTGGCCACATGACCCAGAAGCCATATGCAGGCTCCCTCGGCCAATAAAGCGAGATGAGCCCCGCAACCCCAGAGTCGGCCACGACTGGACCTAATATAGCACCAGTCCTGAAAGACCTACATTGGCTCCCAGTACATTTCTGAGCACAATTCAAAGTGTTGGTGCTGACCTTTAAAGCCCTAAATGGCCTCAGCCCAGTATACCTGAAGGAGCTTCTCCACCCCCACTGTTCAACCCGGACACTGAGGTTCAGTGCCGAGGGCCTTCTGGCGGTTCCCTCCTTGCGAGAAGTGAGGTTACAGGGAACCAGGCAGAGGGCCTTCTCAGTAGTGGCGCCCACCATGTAGAACGCCCTCCCGCCAGATGTCAAGGAAATAAACAACTATCTGACTTTTAGAAGACATTTGATGGCAGCCCTGTTCAGGGAAATTTTTAATGTTCAATGTTTTATTGTGTTTTTAATATTCTGTTGGGAGCTTTCCAGAGTGGCTAGGGAAACCCAGCCATATGGGTGGGGTATAAATAAATTATATTATTATTATTATTATCCTCACCACAATGTAGTGGATTATAAAAAGGAGTGTCTCTTGTCTTACAGCTCCAAACTAATTCCCTTACTCTCTTGTGGCCTTACTACATTGTGCCACTTCTCTTTTCCAGCATGTGATAGACTCACGTGGAAGAGTGAGACTGAGCAAGAACTGTGTGGCGCGTCACTGAAAAGAGACAGAAGCAGAGAGAGGAAAGAGTGGAGGCGGAAAACGGAAGCAAAACAGAAGGGAAGGAAAAGTTCTGTGGTTTATCAACCCTGTGACGTCCAGGAAATCCCAACCCAAGACAAAATGGTGGAAGGAAAAGAAAGGAATAGGCATCCCATGTGCAAGAAGACCTTTGGTTTGAAACCAAGTTTTAATGTTCAATGGAGAACGCAAACACTGGAGAAACCACTTCAGTGCTCCGAGTACGGAAAGGGCTTAAGCCACCGTTCAGAACTCAAGACCCGTAAGAGAGTCCTCCTAGAGGGGAAAGCGTTTCACTGCTTGGAGTGTGGGAAGAACTTCAGTGGGCATTCGAGCCTCAGGACCCACCAGAGAATCCACATAGGGGAGAAGCCGTTTCAGTGCTCCGAGTGCGGAAAGAGCTTCACTCAGAAAATCAACCTCCATTCCCATCAGAAAATCCACACGGGAGAAAAACCGTTCAGATGCTCCGAGTGTGGAAAGAGCTTCATCAAGAACACGGACCTCACACGGCACCAAAGGATCCACACCGGGGAGAAACCCTACGCCTGCTCCGAGTGCAGCATAAATTTCCGCCACAAGTGGAACCTTAGGAACCATCAGAGGCTGCACACAGGGGAGCAGCCCTTTAAATGTGCCGAGTGCGGGAAGAACTACGTCAACAGCACGAATCTCCTTTCACATCAGAGAAGCCACACGGGGGAGAAGCCATTTCAGTGCTTGGAGTGCGGGAACTGCTTCCGGAGGAATGGGGACCTTGCTAGGCACCAGAGGGTCCACACAGGGGAGAAGCCCTACAAGTGCTTGATATGTGGGAAAAGGTTCAGTCAGAACTCGAGCCTCCATGCCCACGAGAGGAGCCACACAGGAGAAACAGTACGGATGCTCAAGGTGTGGAAAGAGCTTTGGCCGGAACAGGCCTAACACCACATCAGAGAATCCGCACGGGAATTTCATGTAGAAGTGTTGGAAGCAAGTGTGGGAATGTTCAGGGATGCAGGAGAGGGTATATTGTTTGATTATATCCTTTCCAACTTGTGTTAACAAGTTCTACAGTTTAGCAGAGTAACATTCCCCTTTTTTAAACTTGCACAGCGGATGCGTTTGCTCAGGCTCGCTAAAGCCTCTAAAATAAGTTTCGTTGATAATTCCCCATTTAGTCCCTCATAAAAAGATAAGACATGACACAGTCTTCTATAAAAGTATAAGAGTTTACTCACACATTCTGTTCACAATTGGATCCCACAAAGCAGACTTAAGTTAGAAAAGTAATATACCTGGAAACTATCCTATGAGGAGATAGCCCCTTTGGAAACCAAGAGAGCATGTTAGGCTAAGCAGATGTTGCTTCTTCGAGGGATATTGTCAGAGAGAGAGAGAGAGAGAGAGAGAGATGGCTGACCAGTCTTGCTCTTTTGTCACCTGGGCAGGTGAGGTTACGCCCACCTTTAGTCACATGCACAGGAAGTCTGCCCCAGCCTAAGAGAAACAGGAAGTTCCGACTGGCTGGTGTAGACATCCCCTTTTATGTCCACTCTAGGGATGTTGTACTTGACCGCTCTTCTGTTCACATCCCACAGCAAGAACGTAAGGAAAGCCTGGCTGCTGGATCAGGCCAGGATCAGTATCCTGTTCTCAAGGTGGCCAGCCAGATTCTTGTGGGGAAACTGGCAAGCAGTAACCGAATACAAGAGCATTCTCCCCTCCTGCAGTTTCCAGAAATTGGCATTCAGCAGCGTTGCTGCCCCCAGCTGTGAAGGCAGTGCTCAGCTTCCACCATTGCCAGTAGCCACTGAAAGATTAAAGTAGGTAAAGGACCCCTATTCATTAATCTCAGTGGCTCTACTCTGAGGAGCACTTAGTTGAATACAACCCAGGATGTTTGGGGATCCTATGACTGTGCTGGCAAGTACTGTCACCCTCTTCCTTCACATTAGCCTCTGCCAGCCTTGTGCTTTCCAGGTTTCTTGGAGTACAAAACCCACCATCCTTGACCACCAGTTGTGCCGATGGCAACTATACTACAAAACCCATGTTTTGCACCAGGTTGATGAAGGCTGCTTTACAGACAGTAGTAACATAGCCTTTCAGTTTTGTTTAAATGCTCTAAGCTAAGTCACCATTTGTTACAATAAACCATTATATTAAATTCTTTGTTTTCTTCTGGCATGTGTGTATGTTTCTCCTGGTTTCCTTTTAATTCAAGTTTAAAGCTTTCGTGGATATAAGTGGCCTTTAAGCACTTAAGCAGAAGTGAGGGTTGGGAAGAGAAATGAAATGAAATGGAAAATAAAGGATGTCCACTTTGCGTTTCTGTTTAAAACTCAAGGCAGTTCACATACAAAAACAATGCAAACAAAGAATTCATGAAACTTAGGCTCCATCTGCACAACAACAATTTATTATTTGTACACAGCCTTTTAGTTATTTGGAGATGGCAATCATATCTCCTCTGTCTCCTCCAGGGTAAACATACCCAGCTCCTTCAACCGTTCCTCATATGGCTTTGTTCCCAGAGACTTGGGGGTGATGGGAGTTGTAGTCCAGCAACATCTGGGGACCCCAGGCTGAAAAACACAGGCCTATAAGCTCCTCCAGTGGCTCAGGAGCAGCAGAGCTACTCTTCTTTACAATGGAAGCAGGAAGTTGGTAATATCAGGGCTTTTGGGCTTGAGACCTCAATACCTCAAGGACCGCTTCTCATATGAACTGATCCAAGCCCCGAGACCATCCTCTGAGGCCTTTCTTCATGCGCCTCCTCCATGAGACGCCCAGAGGGTGGCAACACAAGAACAGGCCTTTTCTGTGGTGGCTCCCCGCTTGAGGAATGCTCTCCCCCGGGAAGCTTCATTATATACTTTTAGGGGCCAGGCAGAAAACGCCATTCTTCAACCAGACCTTTGGCTGACTGACATTCTATGTCCTTTTAAATGTGTTTTTCGGAGGTGCGGTTTATGGGTTTGTTCTTGTTTTTATTCTGTATTTTGTTTTTGTTTTGTACTTTTATGCTGTGAACTGCCCCAAGATTTTCAGATGAAGGGCAGAATAAATATGTAATAAATAAATAAATACAATAAATAATAATTCTGCACTAGCTTCAGATTTCTGATCATCTTCAAGGGGGCTCATTACAGTAGGCCTGAAAGGAGGAGAGCATGAACAACTGAAGCCAAGCTACTACTCCTAGCCATGATAAATAATATATAGTTTTCAATAACTGTATTGTGCTGTTGCCTCCCTTTTGATTATTATCTATTTGATTCAATTTAATTATCATGGATAAGAGCCACTGGGAGACCATGAATTTGTCTAATCCTTAATTTTATTTAATATTATGTTTTTTATGCATTTCCTGGGAACCATAGAATTGTAGAGTTGGAAGGGACCCCGAGGGTCATCTAGTCTCACCCCCTGCAATGCAGGAATCTCAACTAAAGTTCTTCCTGATGTTTAGCTGATGTAGTGGTTAAGAGCGGTGGACTCGTAATCTGGTGAACCGGGTTTGCTTCCCCGCTCCTCCACATGTAGCTGCTGTGACCTTGGGCTAGTCACACTTCTCTGAGGTCTCTCAGCCCCACTCACCTCACAGAGTGTTTGTTGTGGGGGAGGAAGGGAAAGGAGAATGTTAGCCGCTTTGAGACTTCTTAGGGTGGTGATATCAAATCCAAACTCCTCCTTTTCTTCCTTTCTTGTAACATGAAATAATTTGTTCTGGTCCTACTCTCTGGAGCAGAAAACAAGCTTGCACCATCCTCCATGTGACAGACTTTTAGATATTTGAAGACGGCTATCGTATCTCAGAAACAGAGTGTATCAACAAGATACCCACGATCCACAAGTATGCAAAAGTTTGGCGTTTCAGAGTACGTCATCAGCAGTATGCTGATGACACAGCTCTATTTCTCCTTTCCATCTGTAGGTGAGGCAGTGGAAGTGCTGGACCAGTGTCTTGCCTTCATAATGGACTGGATGAGAGCCAACAAACTCAAGCTCAATCCAGATAAGAGTGAGGCTCTGTTGGTGTGTGGTTCCCTAGGCCTGCTCTTGATGGGATTACACTTCTCCTGGATCCTTTGAGGCTCAGATGGCCTCAGTGGCCTGGAGTGCCTTCCATCAGCTTCGGCTGGTGGACCAGCTACCCCCTATTTGGACAGGAATAGCTTATCTACCGTTGTCTATGGGCTGGTAACTTCAAGGTTAGATTACTGTAATATGTTATACGTAGGGCTGCCTCTGAAGACGGTTTGGAAACTTCAGTTTGTACAGATTTCAGTGGCCAGGTTGCTCACCAGAGCAAGACAGTTTGACCATGTTACACCAATCCTGGTCCAAATGCAGTGGCTACTGATTAGTTTCCAGGCCAAATTCCAAGTGCTGGTTTTGACCTCTAAAGGCTTAAACGGCTCAGGACCACAATACCTCAAGGTCCACCACTTTCCATATGAACCCACCTGGACCCTGAGATCATCTTCTGAGGCCTCCTTCATGTGCCTCCTCCTTGAGAGGTACGGAGGGTGGCAACGCAAGAACAGGGCCTTCTCTGCAGTAGCTCCCAGTCTGTGGAATGCTCTCCGCGGGAAAGCCTGGCGCCTTCCTTATACACCTTTAGGGGCCAGGCAAAAACGTTCCTTTTTAACCAAGCCTTTGGTTCATTTGATGGACATCCTATGCCCTTTTAAAATGTGGCTCTCTTGGCGGTGGGGTGTTATTGGGTTATTGATTGTATTTTTATTTTATACATTGTGATCTTTTCTGTGAATCGCCCTGAGACCTGCAGGTACAGGGCAGTATATACCGTATTTTTCGCTCTATTGGACGCACTGGACCATAGGATGCACTGGACCATAGGAGGGGGAGAACAGGAAAAAAATTTTTTTCTTGTTCTCCGCCTCTAAGTCAAGGTGCGTTCTGTGCGTTCTGTGCATTCAAGGTGCGTTCATCCGAAGCCTCCGGAACCCAGCGGGAGTTCCCGCTGGGCTCTGGAAGCTTTGGGTTCCTTTCAACCTGCTCTTTGGGGCTGGCGGGGGGAACTCCCACCGGGCTCCCCAGGCTTGCGGATATCTGCCCAAAGCCTGGGACGTGTGAGCCCGGCGGGAACTCCTGCCGAGCTCCCAAGGCTTGCGGATAGCTTTCTGAAGCCTGGAGAGTGAGAGGGGTCGGCGCACACTGACCCCTCTCGCTCTCCAGGCTTCAGCAAAAGCCTGCATTCGCTCCATAGGATGCACACACATTTCCCCTTCATTTTTGGAGGGGAAAAAGTGCGTCCTATAGAGCGAAAAATACGGTAAATTCAATAAAAAATTAATAGTAAAAAATGGAGTGTATATCAAACAATTCATATTTACAACAGTTGCCCTGTAATATTATTAAAACTTCGAATACTGTTGTGCTGCATCTTGAACTCCATCCAATACATAATAAACTCCTAGTTTCAACACAGAGATTGAATAGAATCATCCAAACTTTGTTTAAAAACTCCCAATAAGTGTTAGTTCTCTTCCCTTCTCTTACTTTATCTTTGAGAATTTAATCAAATATATCAAACCTCATATTCTTAAAATCCATTTCTTAACAGAAGGGTAATACTTCCCTATATGCCATTCTGAGCAGCAATCTATATAATCATTTCAATATCATCAAATGAAACTCATTTTTTGTACACAACACAACAATGGAACTATTTAGGTTAACCTTGAGTTCTAACATGATGAGAAATGAAGGATAAGGGTAAAGGTAAAGGGACCCCTGACTATCAGGTCCAGTCGTGACCGACTCTGGGGTTGCGGCGCTCATCTCGCTTTATTGGCCGAGGGAGGCAGCGTACAGCTTCCGGGTCACGTGGCCAGCATGACTAAGCCGCTTCTGACAAACCAGAGCAGCGCACGGAAATGCTGTTGACCTTCCCGCCGGAGCGGTACCTATTTACCTACTTGCACTTTGATGTGCTTTTGAACTGCTAGGTTGGCAGGAGCAGAGACCGAGCAACGGGAGCTTACCCCATCACAGGGATTTGAACCACCGACCCTCTGATTGGCAAGTCCTAGGCTCTGTGGTTTTAACCCACAGCACCACCCGCGTCCCTTGAAAGGAGGGATACTTTCCCTCTATCCCTCTCACCAGTATTCATACCTTCATAAGCTTCTATCAAAGCCCCATTTAGTCACCCCCCCCCGAGTATCCCACAGTTCCTTATGAGTGATTTATCCCCATGTTGGCGAAGACCTTTATGACTACTGCATCATGATTCATTCACAAAATGTGGCAAGGAAAATGCCTAATCACAACATTGTACTAGTTAAGATGATGGCCCTAATCACTTTCCCCACATACCATGTTTGGAATCATAGACATCTGAACATTTATACTGTCAGTCTCATGTTTGTGTGTGCTATAAAAGTGTGATTGGTCAGAAAAGCAGTAGTCTTCTTTCTTTAGACACTTCCTCCCTGTGTGAAGATTTATTAACATTTTCTTTCCACACTTCAGTTTTGTGGTTTCACCATTGGGTGGACTCTTCGATGTGTTTTGACCCTTTTATTCTGCTTGCTCATAGACGACACTTCTACATTCCAAGCCTGTACGTATATAGTTGCTCCTCTATGCGCAGTCTCTGATGATTTCTAAAGCTGTCTCTGTGGTGACAAATCATGCTACAGTCTGAGCATACATCTGGTTTATCACTTGATGTCTACTGAGGTCCCTGCTCTTCCTGAAGCTCTTTATGTATTCCACACATTTGAATTCTTTGGTGTGATAAAAAGCTTGACCCGTGATTGAAGCTCTTTCTGCTCTCCAAACATTCAAAGTTTCTCCTCTGTGTGGATTCTCTGATGTGAAATAAGGGAGCTTTCCCTAATATAGCTCTTTCCACACTCCAAGCATTTAAAAGGTTTCTCCCCTGTGTGGATTCTCTGATGTAATTTAAGGATCCCTTTCCTGTTAAAGCTCTTTCCGCACTCCGAGCATTTATGTGGTCTCTCTTCTGTGTGAGTTCGTTGGTGTGATGTAAAACTTGAGCTGTGATTGAACCTCTTGTCACACAGCAGACATTTATATGGCTTCTCACCTCTGTGAATATTTTGATGTGAAATAAAGCAGTCTTTCCTAGCAAAGCTCTTTCCACACTCCAGACATTTAAATGGTTTCTCCTCCTTGTGAATGCCTTGATGTAAAATAAGGGACCCTTTCCTAATATAGCTTTTCCTGCACTCTATGCATTTAAAGGGTTTCTCCCCTGTGTGGATTCTCAGGTGTAATTTAAGGATCCCTTTCCTGTTAAAGCTCTTTCCACATTCCAAGCATTTATGTGGTCTCTCTCCTGTGTGACTTCTTTGGTGTAAGGTGAAGCTTGAGCTGTGATTGAAGCTCTTTCCACACTCTAAACATTTAAAAGCCTTCTCCCCCGTGTGGACGTGCTGATGTGAAATAAGGCAGTCCTTTCTAATAAAGCTATTTCCACACTCCAGGCATCTAAAGGGCTTTTCCCCTGAGTGGATTCTCTGATGTAAAATAAGGGAGTCTTTCCTAATATAGCTCTTTCCACACTCCAGACATTTAAAAGGTTTCTCACCTGTGTGGATTCTTTGATGTAATTTAAGTGTTCCTCTCCTGTTAAAACTCCTTCCACACTCCAAGCATTTATGTGGTCTCTCACCTGTGTGAATTCTTTGGTGTAAAGTGAAGCTTGAGCTGTGATTGAAACTCTTTCCGCACTCCAAGCATTTAAAGGGCTTCTGTCCTGTGTGGATGTGTTGATGTGAAATGAGGGAGTCTCTCCGAATAAAACTCTTTCCACAGTCTGGGCATTTAAAGGGCTTCTCCCCCGTGTGGATTCTCTGATGTAATATAAAGGTGGATTTCCTATTGAAGCTCCTTCCACACTCCAAGCACTCATATGGTTTCTCCCCGGTGTGAACGCGTTGATGTAATGTAAGAGAGTTGTTCCAGCGGAAGCTTTTTCCACACTCCAAGCATTTGAATGGTTTCTCTGCTGTGTGAGTTATTTGGTGTGATCTAAGGTTGGAGTTCTTCCTGAAGCTCTTTCCGCACTTCAGGCAAGTATACGCTTTCTTCCCTGTGTGCATTTGTTGGTGTAAAGTAAGAGAAATAGCCCAGCAAAAGCTCTTTCCACATTCCAGGCATTTAAATAGTTTCTCCCCTGTGTGAGTCCCTTGATGATAAGTGAGATGGGTTTTTTGACTGAAGCTCTTTCCGCACTCCAAGCATGTGTACGGTCTCTCCCTTGTGTGGGTTCTATGATGTAAAGTAAGAGAGGTAGCCCAACGAAAGCTCTTTCCACATTTCAAGCATTTAAATGGTTTCTCTCCTGTGTGCGTTCCCTGATGGCAAGTGAGGTGAATCTTTTGACTGAAGCTCTTTCCGCACTCCAAACATTTAAATGGTTTCTGCCCAGTATGGATTCCTTCGTGCGCTGTGAGATTGCTCTTCTGCCTGAAGCTTTTCCCGCACTCCAAGCAGCTATACGGTTTCTTATCTGTGTGAATTCGTTGGTGTAAAGTCAAGACGCTAGGCCAACGGAAGCTTTTTCCGCACTCCAAGCATTTGAAAGGTTTTTCCCCGGTGTGAATTCTTTGGTGTGAAGTAAAGCTTGAGCTTTGATTGAAGCTCTTTCCGCACTCCAAGCATTTAAATGGTTTCTCCCCTCTGTGGATTTTATTATGTAAAATAAGCCGGTCTCTCCTATTAAAGCTCTTTCCACACTCTGAGCATTTAAATAGTTTCTCACCTGTATGAGTTCCTTGATGAACAGTCAAATTTCTTTTCTGATTGAAGCTTTTCCCACACTCTGAGCATATATATGGTTTCTCACCAGTGTGTATTCTTTGATGTCTGCTTACACTTGATATCTGACTGAAGCTCTTTCCACAATCCAAGCACTGAAATGGCTTCCCCCCTGTGTGAGTTCCTTGATGAACAGTGAGATTTCTCTTCTCACTAAAGCTTTCTCCACACTCCGGGCACATATACGGTTTCTCCCCTGTGTGGATTCTCTGATGAGCAGTAAGGCTTGAATTTCTACTGTAGCTCTTTCCACATTCGGAACATTGAAATGGTTTCACCCCGGTGTGGATTCTTTGATGAGTAGTGAGGGTTGACTTCTGACTGAAGCTCTTTCCACACTCGGAACACTTGAATGGCTTCTCCCCTGTGTGGAGCTTAGAGTGGGTATAAAGGCTCGATTTCCATTTGAACATTTTGCCACACACGGGACACTGACTGCTTTCTTTTCTGTTGTTAAGGTTCTCTTCAGCTGGGATCTCACAGATGTCACCTTCCTGAGAAGCAGAGAATTCGTTCCTGCTCTTCTGTTTTAGCTCAGGTCTTGCTCTCTGTTCTTCCTCCTCTTTGCATCCATAACTTTCCAACAGCGCCATGTTTGATTCTCCTCCATCCTGCTTTTCACCTTGAGAAACAAGAGGGATACTTTGTGAGAAGGAAAGAAGAGCTTTTAACTGTTGGCATCTTTTTTTAATGATCCCTAACATGAAATTTTACAGAATCACAGAACTGTAGAGTTGGAAGGGACCCTGAGGGCCATCTAGTCCAGCCCTCTTTCAACGCAGGAACCTCAACTAAAGCATCCATGACAGATGACCAATGTATGTTGCACACTAGTGGACAAAATTGTGGAAACCGTTTGGAAAAAGTGTATTTATGAGGTTTGATGGCTCACAACACCACTTTTTTTTTTTTTGAGTAATACCATAAAATTATATATCAATGGAAATATAATTTTATGAAGCCTGTAATGCAACAAAGTTTGTTCAATAATCTGTATTCTATAAAAAGTTACAGTAGTACCTCAGGTTACAGACGCTTCAGGTTACAGACTCTTCAGGTTACAGACTCCGCTAACCCAGAAATAGTACCTCGGGTTAAGAACTTTGCTTCAGGATGAGAACAGAAATCGCGCAGCGGCGGCGTGGCGGCAGCAGGAGGCCCCATTAGCTAAAGTGGTGCTTCAGGTTAAGAACAGTTTCAGGTTAAGAATGGACCTCCAGAACGAATTAAGTTCTTAACCCGAGGTACCACTGTATAGCCAAATAACCAGAAAAAGGATGCACAACTTGCTTAGGTTGCTATGCAGTAGCTTTCCTTCATTTGAATGTAGCCAGTGAGCATGAGTGTTTAGAGAGCCAATCAGGTGTTATGAGCCATCAAACCTCGAAAATACTCTTTTCCCAAAAGGTTTCCACAATTTTGGCCACTAGCGTAGGTCCATCTGGGGCTCTTGCTATGACAGAGAAACTTCCTGAAGGAGCGTCTCCACCTCCATCATTCTGCCCGGACACTGATGTCCAGCTCCGAGGGCTTTTCTCACTGCGAGAAGCCAAGTTACAGGGAACCAGGCAGAGGGTCTTCTCGGTGGTGGCACCAACCTGTGGAACGCCCTCCCACCAGATGTCAAAGAGGAAAACAACTACCAGACTTTTAGAAGACATCTGAAGGCAGCCCTGTTTAGGGAAGCTTTTAATGTTTAATAGATTATTGTCTTTTAATATTCCGTTGAAAGCTGCCCAGAGTGGCTGGGGAAACCCAGCCAGATGGGTGGGGTATAAATAAATTATTATTATTATTATTATTATTATTATTATTTCTCTACCAATATTTCTCTGTGTACGATTTGCTACAGGTGCGCGGTTGACATACTCTGCATGCCAAAGTTCAGTGTATTTAGCACCTGCCAACTAATTTTATCAGCCACAAAGACAAAGGAGTCATAGCCAATTAAAAAGAGAGATCCTCACCTAGGATCTTCTGCACGGTTCTTTCGCAGAATTCCTCACTGCTCCCAGCCTGGGTGGCATGAAGGTCTCCTGAAGCCTGGGGGTCACCAGAGTCTTGTCGCTCCAGAGAAGCAACAACCCCCCAATTCTCCTCCATGACTTCCTTGTGCAGGGCCCTTTGGTCTGGATCCAGCAGTCTCCACTCCTCCTCTGCGAAGTATACAGCCACATCCTCAAAAGTCACCTGGAGTGGGGGAAAATAAACTTTATCTAGGAGCATGCTGTTTGGCACGATTCTATACCCTTTACAAATTGATCTAATATACATTCTCTTCTCTCATGTACCCACCAGGGATATGTGAAAGGGTTTCAAAGGGCACCCAGCAGAAACTTTTATTTCATTTTCTTGTCATTTTTATTTTTTAGCTCCCATTTGTGGAATGCTCTCCCCAGGTAGACTTGCCTGGCACCTTCATTATACAGTCAAACCTCGGTTGTTGAACGTAATCTGTTCCAGAAGTCCATTTGGTTTCGAAATGTTCTTTTTAAAAAAATAATAATTTTATTTAACATAATTATTACAAAATACAAGCAAAATACTGCAAATACATACATACATATATGTTTCAGATAAGCACACATATATAAAAAAGAACAAAAAAGAAAAAGGAAGAAAAGAAAAAAGAAAAAAGAAAAAGAAGAAGAAAAATTGGAAGAATTTCTTCCAAATTTATTCTACAAATATCTCAATAATAAAATTTCACTGATTGACTTCCATCGCTTACACTGCACTTCCTATATACATTTTAAGCAAAAATTGTATCTGTTATTCCATATTTGTCCCATACAAACTCATACAAATATTATAATCAATAAGTTTTCCAAATCTTTCATAAATCTGTTCTAAACACAACCAATACCTTACACTTAATCTTTGTCTACATAAGTAATCATTTAAACATTTCCATGGTTCCGAAACATTCGACAACCGAGGCACGGCTTCTGAATGGTTGCAAGAGCCTTGGACATTTGGCTTCCGAAAAAACATTTGAAATCCAGAACATTTACTTCCGGATTTTCAGCGTTTCGGAGCTGAAATGTTCCAAAACGAAGCTGTTCAGGAACCGAGGTTTGACTGTACACCTTTAGGCACCAGGCGAAAACATTCTTCTTCAACCAGGCCTTTGGATGATTGACATCCGATGCCCTTTTTAAATGTGTTACGGAAGATGGGGATTATTGGTTTTATTTTGTGTGTGTGTATGTATATATATATATATATATATATATATGTGTGTGTGTGTGTGTGTGTGTGTGTATGTGTGTGTGTGTGTGTGTGTGTGTGTGTGTGTGTGTGTGTATATATATATATATATATATATATATATATATATATATATATATGATGTGTGTGTGTGTACAGTGGTACCTCGCAAGACGAATGCCTTGCAAGACGGAAAACTCGCAAAACGAAAGGGTTTTTTGAGCTGCTTCGCAAGACGATTTTCCCTATGGGCTTGCTTCGCAAGACGGAAACGTCTTGCAAGTTTGTTTCCTTTTTCTTAACACCGTTAATACAGTTGCGACTTGACTTCGAGGAGCAACTCATAGCACGCCGTATGGTAGCCTTTTTTGAGGTTTTTGAAGACTTTGGTGATTTTTGAAGCTTTTCCAAAACTTTTCCAACACCGTGCTTCGCAAGACGAAAAAAATCGCAAGACGACAAAACTCGCAGAACGAATTAATTTCGTCTTGCGAGGCACCACTGTATATATATGTGTGTGTGTGTGTGTGTGTGTGTGTGTGTATATATATATATATATATATATATATATATATGTATATGTATATAAGATTTATGTTGTGAACCACCCTAAGATCTACGAGTATAGGGCAGTACCCAAATTCAAATAAATAAATAAACAAATAAATAAAATTGTTTTATGCAAACTACCCCAAAATTATATTCGCCCAAGAAGGGGTACGCTGGTAAGACTAAACTTAAAATTATTTAGCTGGGTGTTGCACTTCAGGGTTTAAGCTGTCTGAATAGGCATTCACACTGGCTTCTGTGAACACAACTTTGATGGAAGCAGAGAGGGAAGGTGCAGATTCTTCCGGGTCCAGAGGCACCCTGGGTTTCCATTTCAGGCTCTCAGTCGATCCCTATATTTACCTGATCCAGCCGCACAGATGCAATTTCCACTCCACCGCAAGGAAGAGACGAACCGCAACATATTGCCCGCATCCTGCTGCGTCCATCTCCTGAGAGGGACACAAAAAGGGGGGAGATTTACCTTGCATTTCCAAATCAAACTGCTCCTGGGCAGCCAAAACAGTACCACCCATTCAGACGGCCAAAACCGTGTAATCGAACTGCACCACTGGTATCTTCAAGCAAACTGATCCCAAGCTGTTAAAAAAACTTTATATGCTAATGTGGACAGGCTGCTTGGACGCGTGAAACCAACCACCTGTCTCCTTGATCCTTGCCCATCCTGGCTAATAAAAGCAAGCCGGGAAGGGCTGGGCGATGGGCTCTGCGGGGTGGTGAATGCTTCCCTCTGTGAGGGAACATTCCCAGATCCGCTGAAAGAGGCGATCATTAAACCGCTTCTTAAAAAACCATCTTTAGACCCAGCCAGTATGGCCAACTATCGCCCAGTCTCAAATCTTCCATTCTTGGGCAAGGTGATTGAGCGCGTGGTTGCTGAACAACTCCAGGCACGCCTGGAGGATGCGGACCATTTGGATCCCTTCCAATCGGGATTCAGGCCTCATCAGGGTACTGAAACTGCCTTGGTCGCGCTGGTTGATGATCTCCGGCAAGCTAGGGACAAAGGTGAGAGTTGTTTCCTAGTTCTGCTGGATCTCTCAGCGGCCTTTGATACAATCGACCATAACATCCTTCTGGACCGTCTAGAGGGGCTGGGAGCTGGGGGCACTGTTATACGGTGGTTCCGCTCCTTTCTCCTGGGCCGTGTTCAGAAAGTGGTGGTGGGGGATGAGTGTTCAGACCCCTGGGCCCTCACTTGTGGGGTGCCTGAGGGTTCCGTCCTCTCCCCCATGCTTTTTAACATCTATATGAAGCCGCTGGGAGAGATCATCAGGGGTTTGGACTGGGTGTCCATCAATATGCAGATGATACCCAGCTCTACCTCTCTTTCAAATCAGAACCAGTGAAGGCGGTGAAGGTCCTGTGTGAGTGCCTGGAGGCGGTTGGAGGATGGATGGTGGCTAATGGATTGAAGTTGAATCCTGACAAGACAGAAGTACTGTTTTTGGGGGACAGGGGCGGGCTGGTGTGGAGGACTCCCTGGTCCTGAATAGGGTAACTGTGCCCCTGAAGGACCAGGTGCGCAGCCTGGGAGTCATTTTGGACTCACAGCTGTCCATGGAGGCGCAGGTCAATTCTGTATCCAGGGCAGCTGTCTACCAACTCCACCTGGTACACAGGCTGAGACCCTACCTGCCCCGCGGACTGTCTCGCCAGAGCGGTGCATGCTCTAGTTATCTCCCGCTTGGACTACTGCAATGCGCTCTACGTGGGGCTACCTTTGAAGGTGACTCGGAAACTACAACTAATCCAGAATGCGGCAGCTAGACTGGTGACTGGGAGCGGCCGCCGAGACCACATAACACCGATC